TGAATGATGTCGAAGGAACGTGGAAGGATTTGACAGAAAATGTCAACCGCATGGCCAACAACCTGACCACGCAGGTGCGTGAGATTGCGGATGTCACTACCGCAGTCGCCAAGGGCGACCTGACCAAAAAGGTTACTGCCAACGTACAAGGAGAAATCCTTGACCTCAAGAGTACAATCAATGGCATGGTGGATCGTCTCAACACCTTTGCTTTCGAAGTCAGCAAAGTGGCCCGTGAGGTCGGCACAGATGGTACCCTTGGTGGCCAAGCTAAGGTAGATAACGTGGAAGGAAAATGGAAGGACCTGACGGACAACGTGAACACCATGGCGCAGAATTTGACGTCTCAGGTCCGAAGTATATCCGATGTCACGCAAGCTATTGCTAAGGGAGACTTGAGCAAAAAGATTGAAGTGCATGCTCAAGGAGAAATTCTCACGCTCAAGGTCACCATCAATCACATGGTGGGTCGACTGGCCAAATTCGCTACTGAGCTGAAGAAGGTCGCCCGAGATGTCGGTGTTGACGGCAAGATGGGTGGACAGGCCAACGTGGAGGGTATTGCGGGTACTTGGAAGGAAATCACCGAGGACGTGAACACCATGGCCGAGAACCTTACATCACAAGTCCGCGCTTTCGGTGAAATTACCGATGCCGCCACCGACGGTGACTTCACCAAGTTGATCACGGTCAACGCGTCTGGTGAAATGGACGAGCTGAAGCGGAAGATCAACAAGATGGTTTCCAACCTACGGGACAGTATTCAGCGAAACACTGCCGCTAGGGAGGCTGCCGAACTCGCCAATCGCACCAAGTCAGAGTTCTTGGCCAATATGTCTCACGAGATCAGAACGCCGATGAACGGTATCATTGGAATGACGCAATTAACGTTGGATACGGATGATCTCAAGCCATATACCCGAGAAATGTTGAACGTCGTGCACAACTTGGCGAACAGTTTGTTGACCATCATTGATGACATTCTGGATATTTCCAAGATTGAAGCCAACCGTATGGTTATTGAGAGCATTCCATTTACTGTCAGAGGTACTGTCTTCAATGCTCTCAAGACGTTGGCCGTCAAGGCCAATGAGAAGTTCTTGAGTTTGACCTACCAAGTTGACAACACCGTTCCTGACTATGTCATTGGTGATCCATTCCGTCTCCGACAGATCATTCTCAATCTTGTTGGAAACGCTATCAAGTTCACCGAGCATGGTGAGGTCAAGCTTACTATCCGGAAGTCGGACAGAGAACAATGCACGACCAACGAATACGCTTTTGAATTCTCAGTGTCTGATACGGGCATTGGAATCGAAGAGGATAAGCTTGATCTCATTTTCGACACCTTCCAACAAGCTGATGGTTCAACCACCCGCAGATTTGGTGGCACTGGTTTGGGATTGTCAATTTCCAAGCGCCTTGTAAACTTGATGGGCGGTGACGTTTGGGTCACTTCCGAATATGGACATGGAAGTACTTTCCACTTCACCTGTGTGGTGAAACTCGCAGACCAGTCTTTGAACGTCATTGCCAATCAGCTCTTGCCGTACAAGAACCACCGGGTATTGTTCATCGACAAGGGTCAGAACGGTGCTCAGGCTACCAACGTCATGAAGATGTTGAAGAAGATTGACCTGGAGCCTTTGGTTGTACGGAACGAGGAACATGTTCCCCCGCCCGAGATTCAGGATCCTTCTGGCAAGGAATCAGGCCATGCCTACGATGTTATTATTGTTGACTCAGTAGACACGGCCCGGGTGTTGCGGACGTTTGACGAGTTCAAGTATATTCCGATTGTTTTGGTCTGTCCTTTGGTGTGCGTGAGCTTGAAGTCGGCTTTGGATCTTGGTATTAGTTCATATATGACTACCCCATGTCAGCCGATTGATCTTGGCAATGGCATGTTGCCGGCCTTGGAAGGCCGGTCGACGCCTATCACCACTGACAACTCACGTTCATTCGATATTCTTCTAGCGGAAGATAATGACGTGAACCAGCAACTTGCGATGAAGATTCTTCAGAAGCATAACCACAATGTCTTCGTTGTTGGTAATGGCTTGGAAGCTGTTGAGGCTGTCAAGAAACGTCGTTACGATGTTATTTTGATGGATGTTCAGATGCCTGTCATGGGTGGATTCGAAGCCACCGGCAAGATCCGGGAGTATGAACGCGAGAGTGGGCTTCAACGAACCCCAATTATCGCGCTCACTGCCCATGCCATGTTGGGTGACCGGGAGAAGTGTATCCAGGCCCAGATGGACGAGTACTTGTCCAAGCCGCTCAAGCAAAACCAGATGATGCAAACTATCCTCAAATGTGCTACCCTAGGTGGATCACTATTGGAGAAGAGCAAGGAGTCTAGGATTTCGAGCAGCGGGGAAATGCACCCCAACTACTCAATGTCTGAGAACCAACAGCCGCCGCCACCACAACAGCGGACAAAGCAGCAGCCCTTGCCGTCGCCTCGCCCGGTTGTAGAATCCCGGTCTATCACAAGCTCTGGTCCCATTACCCGAGGGAGTGTAGTTAGTCCGATGGAAGAGAAAGAAGACATAATCGACGAGCGGGTACGTTAGCTGTATGTTGAGAACCGAACCCTCAAAACAGCCTGGCTAATTATTTCCCAGGCATTGCTACGATCCAACAGTACATGAGTTTAGCATATTTATTTCCATGCAGATGATTTCGATGCGACTATACCCTGTCTATATGAGTCTCATCTACTCTACTTTTGTCTACTTCATACCCACCTGCGTCTTTCCCCGTCTATTATGATCCTCCGTCATCAACCTCCACCAGTGCATTCGCTTTTTCGTTCTCATTTTCATTTCTCCTCATCTTGGAGGTGGTGTTTTGGCGCAGTCTATGATAGGACCTGGTTTGATCTATATGGAAGGATGACCGGGGGAGTTTTCGCTTACCAGAGGGGCGCTCTGTTCTTTTTACCTATTTACGCTACCTTTTCTCTCTTTCTCACCTAGCCTCTCGCTTTCACTTTTTGACCCCCTCAGCATCTTCTTGCCGTCAATTCTTGTATTGTATTTAGTTTTGCTACTGATCATATCAAGCGCGGCACAAGAACACCGCTTAACTTCAAGATCTTTGTCTATCATTTATGCGTATCTATTTATCTACTATTGAGCTCCAGATCATCTAACTTCTAGCTATCTTTCAATATATCTCTGGACTATCCTTGACTCTTCCAACGCTGTTCCTCGCGTTCCATTTATTCCTGGTATACCCGACGACCTTAGGTCCTCTCCCATGAACATATTTCAAAATGTGAATCCGCACTGCTGTTCCCTGGAATGCGGCTAATCTTCTCTTATTTCATATCCCGGTGTAATCCCTTGAAGGCTTTAGCTTTGGGCATCAAACCCTCATCGACTGATTGCCTCCGTAGCTAAAAATAACAAGCTTGTGCTCTATGGGGACCAAGACTGCGAGTGTCCGGTCTTGATATTAACTACTGAAATTGAGATCGGCAGCTTGGGTTAAGGAGGAGGTTAGGAAGGGCATATATTACTCGAAAGACAGCAATATCGACGAAGGTAGTATACAACCTATCACGCCGCCTAACTAGAACCCGCAGAACAATGTAGGATTGAGCCCATGCCGTTCTTGGTATGCTACGGTTCAGAGGTCCATGACAGGGCAGCAGCCATTTGCTCCCGGAACGGCACACCGGTTAAGTAATATGGACCTCATGCTAAGTCGATATTGACTACTATTTATAGAGAATTGAGGCCGCGGGGCTATTTTGCGGTCTATAGCAGAGGGGTTGGCGGGGTTCACTAAGAGAAAGTTGCTGATAGCCATGGAGATGGTGTTGAGGTTACAATAGGCCTTGCCTATATAGGATATTTGTTGGGGTCGTTCTCCAAAGATCTCATTATGGTCATTTGACCACTCTGGTCACTGCACTACTGACTAGCAACCTATGTAACATTGTGGGTCATTGTAAACACATTTTTATTAGCCTCCCAAGCAGCAAGAGGCTAACAGCCCACTGGATATGAGATATGATGAAAAACATTGATTGCTTTTAAAACACCAAAGCATGCCCAACTCCGAAAATCTGCGTGTTGCAGGAACCGTGTCGTATCTGAAGAAGCATGAAAACAACATTGAAAATGAAAAAATAGCAGGAGAAAATTTAGTCGATATCCATCTGCTCCTCGACTCCACCATCCACCAAAAGCTTGCTCTTCTGCTTCTGGCGGATTCTCTCCTCTCCGTGGACTCTGTTGGAAACCTTGCTCTGCTCGGCCACCATGGGGAGACCCTCCTCGCGCTCCCGGAGTTCCTTCCGGATGAGGTGCTCGCCCGAGTTGACGACCTTGCGGTCCGCCTCGCGCTGGCGCTCGCGGGCGAGTTTGCCGGCCAAGCGGCGTTTTGTGAACACACGCTCGCGGCGGGTTCTGATCTCCTCCACTCTCTCCATGGCAGCGATGGTAGCAGCCATAAGGTTGCGGTCGTACTTGACGGGGACGTTTCTCTTCTTGGCGAACTGGGACAGGACAAGCGAGGAATCCACGATCATCTCCTTTCCGCGGGAGGCACGGTGAGTCTTGGTCCACTTCAGCTTACGGGGCTGACGCTTCATCTTGAAGTTTTTGTGGCACTTGGACCGACAGAAGCGGAATTGTCGGGCATCGTTGCGGACAAATGTGATGCCCTTACTCGGGAATGCCGGGCGGGAACAGAAGTGACAAGTTTCAACACTGCCGGTAGAAATAATATTAGCATTCCGTAGAAGCGGTACGAACAAAATTTAATTGCAAAACTTACCGCATGGTTGTAGTGTGGTGTTGGTTATGTCTTCGTTGAGTCGCAAGAAACTTTTTCTGTAGCTTGGGCCTGAATGGTGGAGCAGACCACGCTAAACCCTTTTGGGGCGCCTGCGCTGACTTTTCTATCCCGGCGCCTCTTCGTCCATTTCCCCGGTCCAACTGACTTGATCTCATTTCGCGACTTCTCTATCCTCAGTCTACAAAATGGCCTCTGCTCTCACTATTGGATTTGGCATTGCCACAACTGCCTTTTTGGTGAGTCAAAAAGTCATTGTGCAGCGGCACGGAACTAACGTATTGTCTACAGGGCCGCGCCGGTCTGGTCGCCTACCGCCGCTCCAAGGGAGGATTAAACGCTGCCGGAAAGGCATTCTACAAGGGGTTCGTGGTCGATTTATCATCTTATCGCTATATGGGATATTGACTAATGTGTTGCAGAGGATTCGAACCGCGCATGAATCGCCGGGAAGCCTCCCTGATCCTACAACTTTCGTATGTGCTAGCGACAAACGTTTGATATGCCAGAACTAACAATATCTCTCAGTGAACGTACTTTGACCAAGGAAAAGATCCGCAAGAACCACCGCCAGCTCATGTTGCTCAACCACCCCGATCGCGGTGGCAGTCCATACTTGGCCACTAAGATTAACGAGGCGAAGGAATTCCTCGATAAACATGTTTAAGACCTTGCCTATGCGGCTTTGACTCCTCTCTTCTCCGACAATAACCTTCTGGCGATGACGGAGAAACGAATTTAAGCCTCGGCATTGACAAACTGGTCATCATATTTTGGGCATATAGCGTGGCGTTGGTTTGGCATTTACAAGATCGGAGGAACATGACTGCTCTTTACGGACCTTGTTGTATTATATGCACTGTTTTCACATATCCCTACGAGATCGCCGCTCTTGAATGTACTTTTATTACTATACATCCGTCCGACATACATATCCAGCACCTGAGAACCGGCAATTCCCGGTATCATATCAGGTCATACCTCTGCCAAGTTGTCGAGCTCTGTGACCTTTTATTCCGTAGTCATGCAAGACCAAACAAGGTCAACCCCTGCACAGTAAGAAGCAGGTAGGCCCAAGGCTCGAGGTTATAAAAGCCTGTTACGGGCACGGGGTCCGGTCCTACCCCATATAAAACGCCACATAACCCTTTTCACAATAATTATCATGCTACTCCACATCTAGATAATGCAGAATGACATTGATCGGCGCAAGAGAGAGAAAGTGGATTGGAAGAGAACGGAAACCTAAGTCCCTGTTATCCGAATCGGACGAATTCGACCGTCTAAGATCAAAGTTCTCGGCGGTCGGGTTTCGGGGGTTCCGTCATGCCACTAAATAATCTTCAAGGCAACTGTATAGCTTTCTCCTTAACGGACTTATTTACTTTGTTCTCACGTGTGGTTGAGTCATCTTACCTAAAATAAAAAAAGGTTAGTTAACCTTTGAAAGAGGTGTCGGCCTGTGGTTTCGTCAACCTCCCTCGAAAAGGTTCTATCCATGCGTCATTCATTCCTATAATTCATAGCCCACTCTGTCCTTTCTCGGGCTTTCTCAGGGGAAAAAGAAAGCTCTGCGCCGAGACGCAACACCCCGCTCATCACTTATCACAATAACTTCTACTCCGCGGAGTTTCCGTTGCCCCTCATACGCAAAATGGATGGCTTAGGGGACGGCGATGGCATGGGCTTCGACCAACCTACTATGATGAACCAGACACCACAACTCTTCAATTACGATCATTCTCAGATGCAGGCAGGGTCTATGTACGATGATTCATCGTTGGGCGCGGGGGACGAGACAAACGATGCGAAGAGGCGGAGGATCGCGAGGGTGAGGATCATTACCCATTGCAGATATTGAGAATATATCTAATGATCGAACAGGCATGCGATATGTGTCGGAAGAAAAAGATTAAATGCGATGGAAAAATGCCAAAATGCTCACACTGCATCAACTACAAAACGGAATGCATCTTCACACAAGTGGAGAAGAAGCGAAATCCTCCTAAAGGGTATGTATACTTGTATACTTCCTTACAGAGTTTCATATCTGACTCGGGTGTTTCTTGAATAGAGCGAAATACATCGAAGGGCTTGAGAACCGACTGGGCCGGATGGAGTCGTTGTTGCGTTTATCGGGTCTTTTGTCAGAAGACGATGGCGGCAAGACAGATCTCGGAACATTGGAGAAGCGGCTAGCGGATCGAACAAATGCGATGAACGCGGCGAAAAACTCCAACAAGTTTATGGCTCAAGCGGCCGCAGCCCAGCAGGCCCCAAGCTCCCACCAAACAACACCTCGGATGGACTCTACCTCCAGCCCCCAGACAGCCGCTACATCACCAGAGTCGCAAAAGTCGGAGACAGAAGTCGAGGCACTGTCCGATATGATGTGTTCTTTGGTGACAAACAACTGCGGGGAGACTCGGTATATTGGTAGGCTTTGTTGTGCAACTGTTCAGGACTGGTTTGTTAATATTTTCACAGGATCCTCATCTGGATTTTCTATATTCTCCCCAAAGGGTATTCAATGGGTCAATGAGAAAACCGGCGATACCTCCTTCCAGGATATGATCTCCTCAGCATATGTCGATGACAATAAATGGATGTATTGGAAACCCGAGATCTTCAGCGATATTTTCGCAAGGCGTGTGTTTAAGCCTCTCCCGCCAAAGGAGGAAGCTCTTTCTCTATTCAAGGATTTCTTCGAAAACTTCAACTGTATGTTCCCACTGTTCCACGAAGCAACATTCATGCACTTGGTGGAGCGGCAATATTCCCGTGATCCCTACGAGGGTTCGGGCTGGTGGGCAAGTATAAATGTTGCCCTGGCAATCTCTCACAGGCTTCGAGTTATGAGTAACTTGGTGCCACATGAAGAAGACAAAAAGGCCTGGCTTTATCTGAAGAACGCCATGGGAGTTCTGACCGAGCTCACAATGCGTAACACTGATCTACTGAGTGTGCAAGCGCTATTGGGCATGGTAATGTGTTCTACTCTGGTTTTGGTGGCTTTTCCTAACGTACTGTTCTAGTCACTCTTTCTTCAAGGAACTCCTAATCCACAACCTGCTTTCTTCCTAGTCGCTGCGGCGATTCGGCTTTCCCACAGCATTGGTCTACACAAACGCGGTTCTAGCTTTGGCCTCAATGTGGTCGAAGTTGAGCAGCGGAAGAGAGTTTTCTGGATAGCTTATCTTCTTGACAAAGAGTATGATCCCCCTTTCAGACACGGGAATGTCTTCATTTTAAATACTGACCAAGTCTTTAGCATCTGTCTACGCTCTGGTCGACCACCAGTACAAGATGACGATGATATGAACGTCGAACTGCCAAGCGAAGATCCGCCCGACAATGTTGGAAATGTGCCATTATCTGATGGTAGAAGCAAGTTCAACCTATTCCGGTCATTGTGTGAATTTGCCACCATTGAAAGCAGAGTATACAAGCGACTTTATTCTGCCAAAGCATCAAAACAATCAGACGGTGAATTGCTCAATACAATCGGTGAGCTTGATAAGGAGCTGGAAGACTGGAAAGACAGCATTCCTATCGACTTCCGCCCCGAACACGAAATCCAAGCTACTCACACTCCCCTCATCATCCACATGGTCGTTCTACATTTTGCTTACTACAATTGCTTGACTACCATTCATCGGATGTCGGTTCATCACGGGTATTGGACAAGCCGTCTGTCCAACTATGCCATACAGGGATTGAATGCACGGCCACTGAACCCCAGGGTATTCTTGTCAGCAGTTTTGTGTGTCACTGCTGCCAGAGCATCGATTAATCTGATCAAGTATATCCCACAAGGAGACTTTGCTTGTGTTTGGTATGTTTCAGAGAATCGTGGGAACAAGCAGCCGCTAACTTGATACTAGGCTGATTCTCTACTACCCGGTGTCGGCCCTTGTAACTCTTTTCGCCAACATCCTCCAGAACCCCACCGATGTTCGTGCTCGATCGGATGTTAAATTAATGAGCGTGGTGGTCAGCTTCCTGTCCACCTTAGTCTCCGACGAATCCAATGGCAGCATCAAGCGTATGCTAGGTCTTTGCGGTGAATTCGAGAGAATTGCCAAGGTGGTCTTAGATAAAACCGAAAAAGAGTCTCATTCGCGAAAGAAACGCAAGAATGCAGAAGCAGAAGATTCTGCAGACGCACCGGAAGAACAGTCGGCAACTGCACCCTCCGCCAAACGTACACAAGCACCACCCACCTCTACATCTTTCTCTCCCTCCATGTTTACGGATCCTACTGCCGCAGCCCCCTCGGCCGGCGCAGAAGGACCATTCCCCGGGACCACAATGCCACCAACAAGTGGCATCCCTGCCGACCTCCCAAGCAATATCCATGCCATGTCTGGTATTGGGCAGGAGTTCTCAGGCATGCTGAGTCCTGATCAAATGGCTAATGTTGGATTCCCGGACCAACACTCATACAATGCCAACCCCGGCATGGCGCCATTCCAGCAGCCATTTGTCCCACAAGACCTCTGGCAAATGCCAATGACAATCGAATGGGACTGGGCGGATATGTCTACCAACTTTCCTCCTTTTGAGGGAGCTGGTCTAGATGGGCCGCTGTCTGGGCAGTGATTATGGCAGTATGATGGCCATATCGTTTTCATCTATCTTTTTATGTAGTTCATGTCGGTGGGATTATTGTCCGGTGTTATCTTTACACACCAAACCATCTCCACACTTTTTTGTATATTGATGCGCTCCTCTTCTTATTTGAAACCATCCCAAGATCTCTATGGAGCAGGGGAATTATGGGTTTCCATTACGCAGCGAATGGCGCAAAGGTGGGCCATATTTATCGGAGTAAATAGGTACAGACAGGTCTCCAGTCAAATCCAAATCAATATTAGATAATTTAATTCAATAACGGCATTTATAAACAACGGCTTTAAAGGAACTTACGGCTTTAAGCCAATTCGGCACCCCGGCCCCGGGCCTCCAGGGCTGCGTTGCTGATGACTCAGCCGGATCGGCGAAAATTTAGAACCGACTGGAACCACACGGCGTCACCTCGGTGTTGGATGTCAGAGCTTCTCAACCCCCAACCCAATTCCGCTCCTCACGCCTAATATTGATGGATTGTGAGATTATCCATTACCTCTAAACTCGATTGATTACCCTTTACCCCCGCCCTCGAAGCCCTCGGGGCTCCCATTCCTCGACCATGGCTACCTTGCTCCGACGGCCAGGCAATCTCGCTCGCTACTCGAGGACAGTCGCGGAATCTACCCGTCGCACGGGACTGGCTTCTGCGCGCCTGCGATCATCAAGACTCTCATCCCTGGTGCTCTCAAACCGCGCCAGAACCTACGCCACGCAAGGTCCGACACCCCCCGACGACAACAGCCGGAACACATCAGATGGCCGCAATAATGACCATCACACAAATAAGCCGAAGTCACTTCTGACCGATGCTGAATTGGCACGTGTGGACGAATGGCTGCAAGGTATGGATACGGTGGGACGCAATCAGATCCGAAACCACCTCATGAGCCATGGACTTCCACCGGAAGTCAAGAAGTACCTCGATCGTGATCAGCCAACGACGTTGATGGATCGTATTAAGATGATGCGGTTCATGTGGCAAGCCACAACTTCCGAAGCTGCATTGGAAGAGTTGCTAAAGCATAAAGACCCTGAAGCCGCCAAAGAGTTCGCAAGAAAGCGCAGTCTCGCAGACCTGCACAACTCCGCTGAAAAACGCAGTGATATGGCCAAACACAATGAAGGATTCCATCTCCGCTTCAATAAGGATTCAGAACAGGGCCAACAAGGGCAGCAACCGGAAAAGCAGGGCGAACAGCCATCCAACGCACAACCACCAAAGGATCCCAAGCAAGATAAGGATCCCAAGGAGGAAAAGGATACCAAGCAAACCCAAGACCCAAAGAAGGACCAGCAACAACAGAAGAAGCAACAGGGCGATAAGAAGGGCAAGGTGCCCCCGAACATGGGCAAGGTCCTCGAGTTCCGCTTCGATCCCGTTTCGTTCTTCATTACCGCTCTCGTCACATACTATGCCTACCGCAGCTTTTTCCCTGGCGAAGGTGGAGGTAGAGAAATCACTTGGCAAGAATTCCGGGCGAACTACCTCGATAAGGGCCTTGTGGAGAAATTGACTGTCTTGAACCGCAGCAAGGTTCGAGTTGAGCTCAACCGTGAAGCTGCGGCTCAACCCGATTCAAACGGTCACGCTGCCTCCTATGTCTACTTCAGTATTGGTTCTGTCGACAGCTTCGAGATGAAGGTCGATGCAGCACAGAACGAACTGGGTATTCCATCCCATGAACGCATTCCTGTCGCCTATCACGACGAAACCCCATGGGGTGGCGTCTTGATGTCGTTGGCTCCTACCCTTCTCTTCCTTGGTGGTGTCTTCTATATGTCGCGTCGTGCGGGTGGCGGCGCCGGTGGCCAGAGTGGAATCTTTGGCATCGGCAAGAGCCGTGCCAAGCGCTTCAATCACGAAACCGATGTCAAGACCAAGTTCGCTGATGTTGCGGGCATGGACGAAGCCAAGGTTGAGATCATGGAATTTGTTAGCTTCCTCCAGCAACCCGAACGCTTCGAGAAGCTGGGTGCTAAGATTCCCCGTGGTGCTATTCTCTCAGGTCCCCCCGGTACTGGTAAGACATTGCTTGCTAAGGCCACTGCCGGTGAATCTGGCGTGCCTTTCTATAGTGTCAGTGGTTCCGAATTCGTCGAAATGTTTGTTGGTGTCGGTCCCTCCCGTGTCCGCGATCTCTTCGCCAATGCCCGGAAGAACACCCCCTGCATCATCTTCATTGATGAAATCGATGCTATTGGAAAGTCCCGAGCTAAGTCCAACGTTGGTGGAGGAAATGATGAGCGTGAAAGCACTCTCAACCAGATCCTCACTGAGATGGACGGTTTCAATACCTCTGAGCAAGTGGTTGTCCTGGCTGGTACCAACCGACCGGATGTTCTCGACAAGGCCCTCATGCGTCCCGGACGTTTCGACCGACACATTGCCATTGACCGACCTACCATGGACGGTCGTAAGCAGATCTTCCGTGTTTACTTGAAGAAGATTGTCACCGACGAGAACCTGGAGTACATGGAGGGCAGACTTGCCGCTCTGACTCCCGGTTTCGCTGGAGCTGATATCGCCAACTGCGTGAACGAGGCGGCTCTTGTTGGTAAGTTTCTATACATACTCTCTTCGCTGTCTTTCATCAAAGCTAACAATTTTTCCCTATAGCTGCCCGCGGAAACGCAGACAAGGTTGTCATGAAGCACTTCGAGCAAGCCATTGAACGAGTCGTTGGTGGATTGGAGAAGAAGTCCCTTGTCCTCTCTCCTGAGGAGAAGCGGACCGTCGCTTACCACGAGGCTGGCCACGCTATCTGCGGTTGGTACTTCAAGTGGGCTGACCCACTTCTGAAGGTGTCGATCATTCCTCGTGGACAAGGTGCATTGGGATATGCGCAATACCTGCCGGCTGGCGGTGACACATATCTGATGAACGTCAACCAGATGATGGACCGCATGGCCATGACTCTGGGTGGTCGTGTTAGTGAAGAGCTGCACTTCGAAACCGTAACTAGCGGTGCTAGTGATGACTTCAACAAGGTCACTCGCATGGCTACTGCCATGGTGACTAAGTTCGGCATGTCGTCCAAGCTTGGTTACATCTACTACGAGGATGACGGACAGCAGCAACTCCACAAGCCCTTCTCCGAGGATACTGCTCGCTCTATTGATATGGAAGTGCGCCGTATCATCGACGAGGCCCACAAGCAGTGCCGCGATCTCCTGACCGAGAAGAAGAAGGAGCTCGGTATTGTTGCCGAGGAGCTTCTGTCTAAGGAGGTTCTCGGACGTGACGACCTCATCCGTCTCCTTGGCCCACGCCCCTACCCCGAGTCCGGCGAGTTCGCTAAGTATTTCGATGGCAAGGGCGGCAAGACCATTGCCCCACCGGATCCCCAGGACCCCGAACAGACCTCTGGTAAGGATGGCCGGGACGAGACACCTATTCCTCCTGTATAGATTAGGAGATTGTGTTTCTTTGCATCCTTGCGCTTTGGTTTGGTTTTGGTTCAATTTTGGGAGGCATGATATCACTGTAGCCTCTCTTTTTGTATTTATCGATTGCATCTCCTGTTTCTTCTCCTCTCTCATCTTCTCTTTGTCTCTCGTCCACAACACCTTCCTCCCTTTCCTCCCCTCCCGTGCTCAATAAGAAGATCGTTTCCTTTTTTTATTTTCTCTCTCTTTTGTCCCCTGTCCATCTCCATGTGCAATTGGATCTGTACAACTTGTACTGAGTGTATAATAGGGAGTTTTATTGAAACATGTCTTAGATTGGAACCTCATGTCTCTCTTACGCGTAGATATTGTTGAACTACCATCGTCAAACTCACCAAAGAATGTTCAATGTTGTATCAGATTCATTGGCTATAAGCTGGCTAAATCTCGTTTGATACCAATGGCACGTTCAACACATGTGAATGTCTTGCGCTTTATACCCTCAACTACTCTCTTTGAGTATGTCTAAAACATACCCAAGAAGTTGATGCAATCCAAAAGCTCTTATCATGAATGCAAAGCCAGTGAATACGGAACCCACAAAGAGACTCATGGCCAAGAGGACAATCGGTCCAGCAATGAAAATGGCATATATATAGAGGCAAGAGCTCAAGACTGATAATGGTCATATTTATGGCACTCAGTTTATTAATAAGACAGTTCAACCCCAAACCAGACCTCACGGCGAAGAGAGAAACACCGAACCCCAGAAAACCGATCGAATCGGCATCCCCCTGGCCTCAAGCAATAGTTCATTGTGATAACTTCAGGCCGGGATCCTGATTCTTCAGAAATGCTGCACATCCCGGCACTTCGAGGCGAATATGGTCAAGATCTACTCAGCGATGACACAAGTCCCGAAAAAGGCAGCCCTAAATTCGAGACGGAGTGGACTAGCGATGCTCTCTGCGCATTCGACCGTGTTTGGAATAACCCAGCAAGGAGAAAGCAGCCCAGCTATTTCCGACCCGGAAGTCCTCCAGTTCCACATGGCGCATCAAGCAGGACTACTGTATCCCAAAGCAGACAGACTCTGTCTCCAAACATCAATGCTGCTCCATACAAAAGGATAACGCTAGAGCAATCTCATCAATATTGGGATACGACGGGGCAACACTCCCAGCTTACGCGCGAGACAATATCCCGATTCTACAGTCCGTACCGTCTGGAAGAAAAGCTCCTCGGCCCCGAGAACTACAAGGATTGGGCGGACCGGATGAAGAAGCAACTCGAGCAGTGTGGCGGGTTGTGGATCACTGGTACTGATCTCATGCAGGCGCACAGCTTAAGCACACGCATCCAGCCTAGCCTGAATCTCTGGATGATGGTTTTCAGCAACGTGTCACAGCCCATACAACAAGAACTGTGTGCCCTAGAGGCATTAGATGCACCAGAGGCATGGGGATTTCTGGAGAGGACATACGGAAGAGACATTCCCATGAAGATGCGTTCAGTCAAGGGTCTACGGGATATCATGGGTATCAAGTATGACGAGTGTGCGTCACTGAAAGAATACATAGAGAAGATGGTGTCGTGCAGCCGAGCAGTTCAATGTAACCGCGGAGAGAAAGATGAAGACGGAGTGAAAGATAATGGCCGCGGAAAGAATCGCGGCCATTTGAAAGGGGGTGGGACTAATGAATGGCTGTGGTGTCAGTTCATTTTGGTGAATCTTGGTCCGGAGTGGGAGTCTTGGGTGTCTGAGTTGGTTGGGAAATTCGAGGATAAAGAGAGAATGAATGTTGCAATATGCACTTTCAGGGGACTCTTTCCGATCATTGAAGCAGAACAGGCACGTCGCATACAAGCTTCTCGTTACACGAAGTATGGTGGTGCGTGAGCATGTCTTAAGTATTCCTGTTGATAGATATTTCATTGAAAGTGGTGTGTATTGTGTTAAAATCGATAATTTTGAGAAAAGGTTTAAAGAAAGCGTATAAAATCACAGCAAAAGCATGTCCACTCTTCGGACGTTGATTTCTTCGTCTGCTATATATCAACCAAGGCATTAATTGCTCTTCTTGCTAGCTTTCTTGGTATTCTTCGCCTTGACGGACAGGCGAGGGATAAACCGGCCAACACGGGCCTGGTAGTCGCTGTACTCCGGGTACTTTCCAGCGGTGATAGCCTCAGTTAGACGCACACTACCCTGGAAGATAGCGAGATACGCCAAAGCACCCAGACCAGCCCAGTTGTAGTAAGTCTCGGTGCGGTAGCAAGCCCACGCATACATGGTCAACCAAAATGCCTGCTCAGCAACGAAGTTGGGGTGGCGCGACCAAGACCAGAGCCCGCTGACAACAAAGCCGCGCTCAAGATCTTCGGCGGAGAACTGGTCCTTGTAGGGTTCGGGAATGCGCGCGTTGGTTTGGTACTCCTTCTTAGCAGACTGGAACTTCCACTGCTGTCCGTCGGCGAAGAGTTCAATGATGATAAAGAAAAACGCAGTTCGGGAGAAGGCCAAGTCGGAAAGGCCAAAGGTCTCGGGGCCCTGGTTGTATGCGGCGACAACAAAGATGTAGGTAGGAGCGGTGATGAGAAGGAGCAACAGCGACTGAGCGATTGCGATGAATCCGAGGTTGAAGATCATGAACAAGAAGCTATTGTTCACCTTAGAGCGCACGATCTGCCAGCGGTAATCTTCTGAGCCGATCGAATATCCTCCTTTGCGCCAGTAGTTGAAAGTCAAGCGAGCCTATTCCATAATTCGAGTCAGTACTTGCAGAGACTCGGAAGTAGAGCCAACTTACACTCCAGAGAACAGTGACGACAGCGATGGTATCCAAAGTCTGGGTTTGGATGCCGGACAAACGGGCCCAGAGGGCGAAATGCACATTATACACCGCAGGGAGAATGCTCCAAAACCGGTCTACTTGTGAATAGTTTCGGTTGATCTCGGCTGCAACGAAAAACAGACCAGCCAGGACTCCACAGACAGCAAGAGCAGAGATGAAGGGGTTGGTAGCTAGATAGACAGCTCGCAAGCTATACACATCGGTACCGGCTTCGCGCAAGCTGTCGGGCAACCATTGTAGCTGGGACAAGTAGGGGGCAACGGTGAGCTCAAATGAGGTATAATCCAAAAGGGACTCCACACGGGGAAGTGGTAAAGATGCCATTGCTATGCTCAAGTACGGCGTACTATATATGAACGATCAAAAGGCCACAGTTGGAAAAAAAAACAAACACATTACTGTGGAGTTGGACGGGGTGTTTGCTAGACTTCCTTATCGGGGATAGCGTGCCTAAAGTAGAATAGCGTATTTATAAAGTGATAGATGCCTCAGGCACCACGGCGCGTCTCAGGCATCTAATCTTTTCGCGTCCGACAGAACAAGATGTATCGACATCAGGACAATCAAAGCCACCACCACTATGAACCCCATGTGATCTAGATGAGGGCTCGTTATGGCTCGCAAAATTCTATGTGTGGCTGAGAAGCCTGCCATTGCTCGCGCAGTGGCCACTCACTTATCGGGAGGTGCTTTTCAAACAGTGGGTTCTCTTTTGAATAGTTCTGATGTTCCAGCTAACATAGATCATAGCGTGCGATTCGTGGGAATCAATATGTGAAGAATTATGAATTTGATTTCGACTTTGGTGGTGCCTGGGGCAACTGCTCGGTCACAATGACCAGCGTAGTAGGCCATCTAACTGGTCTGGACTTTGACCGCCAGTACAAAGGCTGGATGTCCTGTCCTCCGGGGGCACTATTTGAGGCCCCTGTGCAAGAGACTGTTGATAAGGTGGGAAATTATCCGGCCGCTCTCCTGACTCATGCTGATATCTTCACTAGGACAAGCTACCAATTGCGGATAACATCCGGGACCAAGCCAAGTACTCTAAAGCCCTATTTATTTGGACCGATTGCGATCGCGAAGGTGAGCATATCGGATCTGAGGTCCGTAATCAGGCCAAAGCAGGAAATGCTCGGATTGAAGTTAAGCGAGCCAAGTTCAGCAACACGGAAAGCGCGTAAGTAATGTTGATTTGTCTGCGTCTATTCAGAACTGATCCGATGATAGGCATGTTCGCCGGGCTGCTCTAGAACCAGTCAATCTCGATGAATATCAGGCCAGTGCTGTAGCTGCCAGAATTGAGTTGGATCTGCGAATTGGGGCTGCATTCACTCGCCTGCAGACTTTACAACTACAGACAGTGGTGGCAGCCTTGAAGGAAAAGGTCATTAGCTATGGTAAGCTGTCAGTCATCCTAGATATGTAAGTCGCCAAATTAACAAATTAGGATCCTGCCAATTCCCTACTTTGGGCTTCGTTGTCGACCGATACTTGAGAGTCAAAAATTTCAAGCCAGAAACATTTTGGGGCATCAAGGTTATACTCAGCCGTGAAGGCAAGAAGGTCAACTTTCTCTGGAAGCGGGTACATTTATTTGACAGAGCAGTCGTGACGATGATGTTAGAGCGGTGTTTGCTTGCAAAGCAAGCCAAAGTCACGAAAGTGAATCAGAAGCCTACAAGCAAATGGCGGCCGTTGCCCTTGACTACGGTAGACCTACAAATGATGGGCAGTCGATATCTTCGTTTGGACAGTCAGACTATCATGAAGGTAGGAAAACTACTCTTATATTAGATGATATCTAACAAGCTCAAAGGTAGCAGAAGGACTTTACACCAAGGGATTTATCAGCTATCCCAGAACCGAGACAGATCAGTTTGACAAAGCAATTGACCTGAAGAAATTGATTGAAAAGCAATACCCCGACGGCTCATGGGGTCAATATGCTCGAGAGTAGGCTCAATGGTCTTGCGTTTGATATACGAGACTAATGTTTATCTAGACTTATTGATGGCAAGTTCAGGACTCCTCGCTCTGGCCGCCACAACGACAAGGCCCACCCACCTATTCATCCTGTCACCTGGGTTTCACCAAATCAATTAAATGCCAATGAGAAGAAGGTCTACGAATTTGTTGCTCGTCGATTCCTCGCTTGCTGTTCCGATGACGCGAAGGGCCAGAGCACCGAGATTGAAATCCAATACGGTGACGAATCCTTCCACACCAATGGTCTTATTGTGTTGGAGAGAAACTACTTGGATGTATACGTCTACGATAAGTGGGAAAGCAGCCAGCAACTTCCCAAATTTGAACTGGGAGAGCTCTTTGAGCCCACAGAAGCCAATATATTCGAAGGAAAAACAACCGCTCCAAACTATCTGACTGAGCCCGAGCTCATTGGCCTGATGGATGCCAACGGGATTGGTACAGATGCCACGATGGCAGAGCACATCGCCAAGATCAAAGAACGTGAATACGTCGCCATAAACCAACGAGGCAGTGGTCGCAGCTCAGTACAGGAATTTATTCCAACCCGCTTAGGCGTTGCCCTTGTGGAAGGGTATGACAACGTTGTTGAGGGTCTCCCTAACAGTGTGTCTCTCAGCAAGCCGTTCCTTCGCAAGGAAATGGAATTGAGCATGCTTCAGATCTGTTCGGGCACCAAAACTCGACAGGAGGTCGTCCAGCAGAGTCTGGATATGTACCGAGAAGTCTTCATTCACACACAGAGACGCATCAACATGCTGAAGTCTGCCTGCCGCAAATATCTTGTTGAAGAAAACGCGTCATGATTGTTAGTTGCTTACAAAATACATCTAGAATTATAATGAACCCAACGATTACACCATTATGTCTTCAACTCATTTTATTTTAGATAAATCTTCATGCATTCAAAGAAAACAAAGAGAAGCAAGTTATAACGAAGCTCAGATTCCGGAGTGCTGTGGAAGTAGGCTGAATCCGGTATCAACGTCGCACTTGGGCGAACGCCGACGTTGTAATTCCAGGGACGTTCATCTATAGCGATGCCGCTTCAGCCGATTGTGCCAGGGCCAACCTGGCTTGTTCGTACTGTTCGGCATCAATCGAAAGTTGTAGTATAAGGCCATGTGATGATGTTGCATCATCATTGGGAAAGACGAAAGGTCCATTGCACATTGCACTAATTAGGAATTTTTATACCTTCGACCTATAAGCTTGACAAGATACATAGTATGTATACAGAATGATATCTGAGAAGACCACAGAAAGGACTACCGAAATGACTACTGAAAAGACTACTAAAAAGACATCACAGTATTAGAAATAAAGAATAACATTGAAAAGAGAGACCATAAAGGTCAACATTGTACATAAATCATCTAACCACCTTCTCTGCTGTGTATTTCGGAGCTCCACTCATCTGCTCGGGAGTAGGGCTCTTGCTCAAATCGAACGGGGGCTGGTTCACCCGCAAGTCGTCCGGTACCTCAGGAGACATTGTTTTGGCTAGCAGAATGTTCAGCCAAGCCAACTGTCTCGGAATCTGAGGGAAACTTTCAGTATTTTTCATCAAGCCTTCGTGTTGTCGACTAACCTCTTCAAGCTTCGAGTCTAGTTCTATCATACCAGACGTGTACTTGTGTTCCATCACACCAACAACATGCAGCAAACAATGTTGAAGGTCGGCCGAGCAGTTTCCAATAGTCTGGGCCAGATGAACGAAAACAGGCCGTACCTGTTCATTTTCTTGACGGAACTGTCGGATTTCTAACATCAAGGTGCTGAATTGGTGCTGTATTCCGCTCATTCGCCTGAAATAATCATATTGCATGTCCTCAACGCCACGCTCAATCCTACCCGTCGACAGAAATCCCAGCAGCTGGATTGTGAGAATGATCAAAAGGAGGGAAGCCACGATAGTGAAATAAAGCATGTCACCCGAGGCAGTATTGGATTGCCGCAGCTCCTCGTGGCTAAGCTCGGTTTCCAGGGCGCCGTTGAGGTAGACAGAGCCCGTATCACTTGCGGCAAAAGTTGATGCCGTTACTCCGGGTAGATTGATCTGTAGGGATGCCGCTTCAGCCGATTTTTCCAGGGCCAGCCTGGCATTCTCGTTCTGTTCAGCATCGATGGAGAGTTGTAATAGAAGGTCGTTTGATGACGTTGCGTCATCATTGGGGAAGACGGAAGGGTGCACTCTGCGCAACTCGTGAACTGCATAAGCAATTTCGAAGGAGCCGAGACTGCGCCAGAAAAATGAGTTGGAAGGATTGATTCCGGTCAGCGGAATAGAATGCCAGATTCCAATGGTGCTAAGGATAGCAAAGACGGCTCCCGCCAGCACTTGGTCGAACAACATGGTTTCGTGTTATCAGATCAGTGAGATTCAAGAAAGTCAAGGAAATCTCCGGCTTTCTCGGTGTCTTGACAGCTTAAATATATCGTGAAATAGGTAGAAATCAAACAATGAGTAGACAACTCTTTGTCTACTTCACCAAAGTTTTCAAACTTGAATAAACATTCATTGTTTTTGGCCCGATTGTTTGATAGTTGCATTATGCCATTTCTTTGTTCGGTTCAGACTTTGATTATGATCTCTTTTATATGGCTATCTTTTTCCATATCTCCTATATCTCACCCTACTCTTATTGTAGTATTAGAAGGATATCAATAGATCTTGATATATTCAACAACATTGAGATCTTTTTAAAACAATCAAATCTTTGTTTAACAACATACCACAATGAGCTCTAAGAAATCACTCACTGCCAGCACAAAGAGACCCTACAAACATGTCAGACATTTTCTAAACAGTTTCACCAATTATAGTGGCGCTTTCAGAAATACTATTCCTTTGGTCGTATTGAAAGAAGTAGCTGCATTATGAAGATACAGGGACATGTTCAGAGCAAACAAAAGCATTATTACCACACTAGTTACTATTTATACACTTTAGGCTGTAATCTTATGGCATACAAGGGAAATATTTTGATGCTCCATTAACAGCATATTCCAATAATCATACTGTAGAGTATCGGTATTGGTTTTCTTAACTTGATATTAGGCGAGCCTAGCAACAAAGGGATGGGTAAACATTTTCATGATTTCTCTTATGCAGTTAGCCATATCCGAAGATGCAAAGAGCCATGTTCGTGCTTGTGTGATAGGTTACATTCTATCTAAGATTGAACTTTTCATGAGATGGTAGAGCGGCTTATGAGATCAAAACATATGCGAATTTCGATAGAGATGTAGGACTTTAATGTGCCACGGTGTTTCCTTCGCTCTCCTTGTCATCAGTCACCTTTCCCTCGTCAATAATATTATCGTCATTGTCATTTTCGACCTCTAGAAGAGATTTGTACCACTGAATCGTGGCATCTTCCTGGCCCGTTGACAATCGACCCGGTGGTTTTGTCGCAACTTGAATGCCATGTCTTATGAGGTGTTGACGAAGCTTGCGGGTGGTAGAGATAGGTACCTGGATACAATTAACAATTAAATCGAAGATCTTAGGATAATTGCACTGACATGGTTGTGGTAACAGTTCGGTAGGCGGCAAAAGAGTTCACCATGATAAACGGTGACTTGACCAGCATGGTTCTGTTGACTTAATCAAAGTTCATGTCGACTCTCCTTTATATAAACTTACAGTCGTATAAGGTGGAAGTTTGAGCTCCCGTTTCCCAGCCTTGATAATGTATTCTCTGTATGCATCGCAGCGTCGTAAGAAGACGGGAATGTAATACGTGTTTAGTTGGGGTTCGGATAGAGACATCTTGAAGCTTCAGTATCAGTGAGTATTTGATAGAAGAGAGAGAGAGAGAGAGAGAGAGAGAGAGATAGAGATAACGGAAGGGAGGAGAGGAGATAATGTGAGAGAGAGGTGATGGAAGAGAAAGAGATACTCTGGGCAGCTCCTTCCTTACCAACCGTCTTTCCCTCGATATATCCTCTCGTCTCTTCCTTCAACCATCCATATCTTTTTTTTTCCTGACTTCAACCATATCGTCTCTACCCATTACTCGGTCCTCAACTTCAACGTGAGCTTCCTGTTCTCAGGCCCGAGTAATGTGAAGCTGAATATCATTGGAGGGCCGGGTGAGAACGACTAGAACAAACGGCCGGTGACACGTTCTTGTGGTCTTTTGCAACAAAGTCCAACTTGTTATCTACATTTATGCTACATGACTTAATTCTTATTGACTTTTATTGCCATCTAGAGCCGCATAGATCGTTCATGATCTGAGTCAGCTATTCTTGTGCCAAGACATGGTGGCATTGCCCGGGTGTTGTGACGAGGCGGTGCGAAATATTTGAAAGATACAACACTAACGTCTCCGAAGAATTAGCTCAAACACTTGGCTGTGGGAATTAATTAAATGTTAGTGAGGCTTAGCTCCAGCCTCGTATGAGATATAAACAAGCCACCCACTAGTACGTGTCGTGTTTAAACCCGGGCAAAGCAATCATACAAGATGATATTTCTCATATATGTCTTTCTGCGCCCATCTGTGATTATCCATCAATCGTAATTCCAGCTCATCAGTGAGCTTCACAGAAGATGAGCTCCAAAGGTCCCCAGCGTCCTCTACGATCAAAAAGTAATACCACTACTCCCGCCAGGTCAGAAAGCAAGACTGTACCATACACACCCAAATGTAAGTTTTCAGCTTCAGTTGTCGCGATAAGAAGCCTGACCGTTAACTAGGCACCACTGATGAATATGTCAAAGCTATCGCACATCATTTTCGCCAACCCAGCTCTGAGACGTTATATCCCGGGGAGATTTATGATACGCTAAAACGATTTCTTGAGCAGAAATCAAATACTGTACCAAACACTGCAAGCCATGGGTCCAACGATTTCGCATGGCTCATCAGCCCGAGCCAGCTGGACCAGCAAGCTTCGTTGGACAAGCATTCGTTGTCAGACAGCAATAGGAATCGAGAACAGTCTGAGGGATTTGCTGATCCGCAGTCATGCATAGAGGCACTGAGAGCCAGAATTGAACTATCGCATCCACAAGTGCTATTCCTACGAGTTCACCCTTCGCCGAGTTGGCTTTCAAGCATCGGCACCTTTTGCTGCGTCGATCCCGAGCTATTTCGCTGGTTTCTTAGATACTGTGCAGGGCCAGGAAGTAACTATTACTTTGACTCCGCTCCCTCTATAATGAGTAACATATTTCGCTTCAAGTTCTTTACCATCGGATTCAAGTCTATCGATGTCACTCGTCTCAGAAGGAGGTGGATGCCTTACGCGGGAGGGCAGTTAAAGATCTCCAGAGGTACCAGGCTGAGTTAAGGGGAAATTGGGCGCTGAAGCCAGGGGACTCGATAGTGCGAAATTTTCATGTGCTAGATGAACGGCATTGTGTCATTGAGCAAGAGATTGTGGTCTCCATATTCAATGTTGGGAAAACTTGGATGGGTATGATCTCTACCACTGGCTTGGTCGATATATTTGCTGATGATTATAGCCATCGCCTGTACAGATGCAGGATACGACATTACCCAGGGGCCGAGATTCCCCTGGCTTGAGGGTGACGTGGAATCATTGCCACTCACGCTACTCCCAATCATTCAATATAGACCAAGGTGTGCGTTGAAATATCGGTGTATAAATGGGAATTCTAGGCCGAAGAAAGGAAAGAATACGCAAAGTCTCGCCATCTTTCCGGAAGGCTACGGTCGTGGTCTAGATTGGTCGCTTGCAAAATCAGATCGATCCCATGTCTTGGCAGACATGTTCAGATTATCTGCATTCTCTCAGAAGCAGCTCCTAAATGTCATGGAAGAGAAGATAAGGAGCGAAACGAACCGCCTGTCGCTCAGTAATGAGAACCCAACAAGTGTTTGCTTTGCTAACTAGCTCTTGAAGGCCGGAATCTGCTCCGCGGCCCCAATGCATCCATTCTAACCCCGTCAGAACCAGCTTTCTCGACCAAGCTCGGATCATGGACAAAGGATGCTACCGCAGGCAGTGATAAGATCAACCCCGAACTCATTTCCGCCTTGAAGGATTTTACTATCGAGCATCGAGACCCTATTTTGCCTTGCAAGTCCATTTTATTGCCCAGAGACCCCGTTTTTTTCTGGGCGCGAGGATACACTAGCAAGCATTCGGCAGACTCTTCTAGCCGATGTACAGGAGGCTGAGAATGCGTCTGATAGCTCCCTTGGCGAGATAATCCCGTCGTTAAATGTCTATTCTCTATGTGGTCCTGGCGGAATGGGCAAAACTTCCATTGCCAACGAATTTGTTCACAGGTATGAGAAGGAGTTCGATGCTGTTTTTTGGATAGCAGCAGACGAGGAGAGCAAACTCTTTAACGGCTTTCGAGACATCGCTCTAAAGCTCGGCATTATTCCAAACACCGATGGAAAAGACCTTTTAGCAATCCGGGAAGCGCTTTTAGCATGGCTCGCCAACCCTCTTAGGTCCTATGAACATATGGATCACGTCAAACCAGAAAGAGCGTCTTGGCTTATTGTGTTCGATAACGTGGATCGCGCTGATACGCTTGAGGACTTTTGGCCGAAAGACGCTGCCGGTTCAGTTCTGGTTACCTGTCGAGATCCGTTAATCAAAAGCTCGATCTATTTGAGGAACACTGGAAGTGTTGTTCCGGAGCTATTGGAAGAAGAGGGAATAACCCTACTGCTTCGGCTCACCAATCGCGAGAGCGATGAGGATGATGTAAAGCAGGCGCCTAGGGTCGTTCAAGCCTTAGGCAGGTATCCCCTTGCCATTGCGCAAATGTCTGGAGTTATACTAGCTCGAGGCCTCGGTTTTAACAAATTTCTTGAATTATATTCCGAGGAGGCAGAACGACGAGAGATTCTTGGGATCTCAGAAGGACAATCAGCCTCTCTTCGCAGAATACAATCAGACGCTTGGTACTGTCTGGAACCTGGATGACTTGAAAGAGGGCAGGGCCTTGCTAGAAGTCATATCATTCCTGGATCCAGATAGTATCCCAGAATCACTTCTAGAGAAGAACCCAGCATGTATGGATTGGGATCGCTATCCCAAAACTTCATTGGAATACTCAAGTGCTCGTGCCGAGCTACTTTCTAAGTCACTCATTTACAGGAATCGGGGCAAGAAGACCTTACGTGTCCATCGCTTGATACAAGATACTGTGAGGACTCAAATGGATGATGCAACATCCAACGAGGTATACTCTAGAGTGTTGGATATGCTTGGCGCTTGGTGGCCGAGGGTATTCAAAGGCTTCGGGAATGTACAAACGGACTGGCAACAAAATTCTGAGCTCTGGCCCCACGCCCTCTCACTACTCAAGTATCGGGATCGTTTTGACCCGGCCGCTGCTGACCTTGCTACTGCGATCAAGCGGATGGACTTTGCCCTAGATGCCTTGATGTACGTGAATGAGATAGCGTACGTATTGGTGAATATACTGAGGGATAAACCAGATTTAGCGTTTCAGATTCCCGATTTAGTGCTTCGCCGACAATTCTGTCTTTCTTCGGCTTCTTGAGAGACGCAGTGACCGAGGAAAACCCAAGTTATAAGCTGCAGATGATCGACGCTATTTTCCACTATTGCCGAGGAGAACTCGGGTTGCATATCAACCACCGTGAACATCCTTTGCCCGATTTCAGCCAATGTGTCAAGCAACTAGATATCCTACTAGATGACGATGCCAAGAAAGCTGATCCATTGTTTGGGGTCGCAGTGAACGAGCTCGGTTGTGCCTACTTGATGAATTGGCATAACGAAGAAGGTCTGGCTGAGTTTGAGAGGGCAGTCACTATTCTTCAGAACCTGAGTCACCCCTCAGCACAGGAGATTACTATGGCACAAATCAATGTGGGATTTGTTTATGACTACCTTGGACGGTACGACGAAGCTTTGCAGATCTTTGACGTTGCATTGAAGGACCGTCATAAAAAGCTTGGCCGGGACTATTATTCCTCGTTTGTGTAAGTGAAATTCAACTTATTACTTGCTGTGACCCTAATGATACAGGAACGGAAAATTGTACTTGGGCTGGGGGAATGTTTTGGCCGCACAGGGTCGGCTAGACGACAGCTTCAAACTACACGTCAAATGTCTGGAGCATTACAAGCGTTCAGTTGGCAATTCACATCATCGAACAGGTGACGGATGTGTAAAGGCTTCGGACCATTTTGCTCGCACGGGAGACGGTCCTACGGCATTGTAAGTTCTCCACCATTCGAATTTCGCGACGGTCATTAATTTTCTGAAGAGCATTGCTTGACCAAGCCCTCAAGATCTTCAACCTTGATACATATCACAGACCAGAAGCTGCTAGAGCTCACTACAAGAAGGGGAATGTCATGAAGCAGATGGACCAAGAAGAGGAAGCCAGCAAGGAAATGGACACAGCACTCGACATCTTTAACAGCTTTGTTCCTCCTGAAGACTGTGTTGGAAGCATTGATGAACTGGATGAAGAGGACTTTGATCATTGGATCATGTTTTGGTCTCGTTGATTAGGAACCTCTAATCCCGTCCGATGAAGATAAGGCGACGGATCAAGACGTTTGGCAAAGTCAGTTCGAATTAAATTGTTTTTCATTGCACCTTCGTCGTATATTGCATCTGACTCGACCTAATCACGCGGAATTGAAATATAGGGATTATTTCCAAGGTTGGTAGCACACAATGATAGCTCGGGAGTAGCTTTTGAGTCGCTGTAACCCTTGATCACCCAGGTGGAAGTGGTGTAGTCTATGAGTAATTGTGAGTGAGCGGTCATCAAATGTCAAAATAAACTGGTGGATCTGATGTGAAGGCTTGTGACTATAATTTGTGGGTAGATGCTAGGGACCTGGGGACCAATATGATGGTCGCTTGAGCCATCATGAGTCATGTTGATTCCTTTGCGCTAATCCCAAAACGGATTGGCGCAGCGCCGTATACATCCTAATTAGTCCACCTAGTAGAAACACTGAAATGTACTTAAGAACGTCTCCATTTATTCTCTTCCAATTCACCTCATTACCTCAACTTCAGCAAATGGCTGAGAAACATCCCATCAAAGCTCCACACGCCCCTGAGGCAAACAGCCTGTCGGCTAGCGACAGCGACTCTCGAACAGACGATGCGAGCGACTACGAGCTGACTGGAATTCCACTAGTCCTGGTCATGACTGGACTTGGTCTTTCTATATTTCTTATGTCCCTAGATTCCTCTATCATTGCCACAGCTATTCCCCGAATCACGTCACAATTCAATAGCACCAGCGATATTGGCTGGTATGGAAGTGCATACTCCTTTGCGATGTGTGCTCTGCAACCTGTCGCAGGTAAACTGTTTGCAAGTTTTGCAATGAAAGTGAGATATTCAAAGCTTTCAGTTGGAGAATAAAACCCCCATTAACAGTATTAGGACATGTTCCTCGGATGTCTTGCCGTCTTCGAACTTGGCTCATTGCTCTGCGCTCTTGCTGTTAACAGCCCTATGCTCATCGTTGGGCGTGCTATAGCTGGCATTGGGGCAGCAGGATGCTTCACAGGAGCTTTCTGTATTGTCGCAGTTTCCATCCCGTTGGTCAAGCGACCCTTCTATATTGGAATCCTTCAGTCAACATTTGGCATTGCCACTATCATTGGACCCGTGTTAGGTGGTGCATTCACAGAGCATGCGACGTGGCGGTGGTGTTTCTGGATCAACCTCCCCATCGGGGCTGTCACCATTCTCTCATTGGTTTTCTTCTTCAAACCGCCTACGCGCGATTCGACAAAAGCTCCGACGGTTCTCCGCAGACTACAAAACCTGGACCTGCTGGGCGCTTCTATTTTCGCTCCAGCCATAATCATGATCTTTTTGGCTCTTCAATGGGGAGGAACTGAGCACGCTTGGAAGAGTGCTACTATCATTGGTCTCTTCATCGGAGGCGCAGGTCTCGGCCTTGTCTTTGCTCTCTGGCAAATACGAAGAGGTGACAGTGCCATGATTCCACCGCGTCTGATTACGGAGCGTACAATGTTCTTCTCCTGTTTCAGCGAGTTCTTCGCCATGGGTGCCGTTTATATTTCGATCTACTACCTCCCAGAGTGGTTCCAGGTCATCAAAAACGCCTCGCCAACGAAATCTGGACTCATGTATCTTCCCTTGGCGCTATCAGATGTCCTCTCCGCGACCCTAACAGGCGCCTCACTTAAATATCTTGGATACCCAAATCCCTATATGCTCCTTGGAACAGGCTTGATGAGCATAGCAACGGGGCTCTTCTCTACCTTCTCCCTAAGCACCCCCCACCAACAGTGGATCCCATTCCAAGTCCTCCAGGGTCTTGGTGTGGGAATGACCCTCTCGATGCCCTATGTTGCAACACAGACAGTCCTCAAACCCGAAGATATTCCTGTCGGTACCTCATTACTACAATGCTTTCAATTCTTCGGGGCTTCCGTGAACCTCGCCATTGCGGAGGCTATCTTTGAGAACAAACTTGTCTCGCGATTGAAGGGTTGGGGATTTGAGGGCCACGAGATAGAGAAAATTATCAGTGCAGGCTCTGCCGAGGCAAGGAGTGCGGTGTCTGCGGCACAGCTTCCAGGCGTGTTGGATGCATACAACCATGCGATCACTAGGACGTTCTACGTTGCAACCAGTGTTGCCGCTTTTGCATTCCTCCTTTCCCTCGGCATCCGTTGGAGGAGTGTCAAGCCGAAACCCCAGGCTGCTGCCTCGGATGAGGAGATTAGCTCGTCAAGTCGGTAGAGTTCAGTGGCACGGATTTGTTAAGGCAAAATATAGAAGACGAAGGGTTCTTGTGAGCCATGAGAGTATGTGGATAATGACATCTTGCAGCTCGACTAATATTCAGATACGTTTGGAATAATGATGCATAGATAGCGATGTTTTAATACAAAATGCAACAGCGTTCTTCACTACACACTGGTCTCCTTCTCTGATCACATACATAAAACTTGCTTCTTACTCTACATGTAGTTATATCAGCATTGTTTGCGGTCTCAGGCATCAACTCTGAGATTAGTTTGAGACTTGAGTTCTAGACTTCTCCAATACAACTCTCTCTCTCTCTGAGACTGATCAAAATCAAACGGACTGAATTCTATACTACAACTGAGTTTATTCAGGCCCTTAAGACCCGATTTACTACGGCAAACGATCTAAAGCAGCCATTCCACCCTACCTGGGGATCGTTATTATGCTCAATCAGCTACAAGAAATCCCAGAGCTCTGCGTATCAATTGATATCAACGAAGATAAGCTAAAGGACATAAAAGATCCCGTCGCAACCTTGACGAAATATGACTTCTTCCGTTGCTACAGTGACATGATTGATAGGATCGAAAGGATCGGTCTTGACGAGAACTTGGAGCAAGCTGGATTGCCCACAGAACTAGCAGAAGAAAACTTCTTCAGTGACAAGAAGGACGAGTTCGAGTTGATGAATATACCACTGCCTGGCAAGAGTGGCAAAGACCACGTGCGGGACTAAAAGAGCCATAAAGTCCAGCGTTCATCCAATGTAGCTTGTGCCTACTGTGGTAGGTATATTCATGCTTAGTACTTACCAGTTCGCTCTCTGACTCAATCTCAATATGGAATACATCCGACTTTCTCGTCGGTCACATTATTCACCCTTGATATTTGCTGAACAGGGTAGGAATAACTCTTCTAGTTTTTGAAACAATGGTACTCAATTCAATTCAAAAACTAAGCAGCCTAGGCCAAAATGCGAACATAATCAGAAGACTAATCAAGCCATCCCCCATTGTTCAAGCCAAAGGCTTATCCAGCGACCACTAACTGCACCGACTTGACCCAAGCGAGGGAATCGCTCCTCAATCATTGCTGTATCTATGACTACAGATTTCTCAGATCTAGTCAATCCCTGGAAGAATCCAAGAAGACGAAGACCAGGATTGGTGCTAGAACCCCGTTCATCGATTCCCTGTGACAAACGATGCACCCAGTCCCGCAAGGGAACAATATCCAGGGATTCATTCGTCCCAAGGCGCTTTGCCAACATAGGGACAACATCGGAAAACAGGATATGCTGTGGATTGACCAAATTGTAGTATCGTGTGTTGGTTAAACTGCCCGTTTCGTAGACCCTCGGGGTACAAATTAGATCAGAAAAGAGCTCAGCGACGGTGTCGACTGGCATCCACTCAATCTTATTTCCAATTCCTAGCGTTTCGGGAAGACAGTCAAGCTGTACGGAGGCCTCTAGGAGGGTTGGGAACCAGTCGCGACGTGGCCATGGCATGTCTCCGTCTTCTGTGTATTTATTGACAGGGCCGGCAACTTGACCTAAGCGGAAGATATAGGATCGAATACCGGCTGAAGTGGCGGCTTGGTCTAAAAGTAGACTGGCGATGAGCTTGCTTTCTCCATAGGCTGTCTCAGTAGTCTCCGGGGATCTCAGCGTTTCCTCTGGGACAGGTGTATCTTCTTTCCAATTCGTCACTGTAGCAATAGAGGACAGGAATATAATTTGTGGATTGTGTTTGGATGTGTGGGCAAATTGAATCAGACTAACGAGGCCCTTGATATTTGGTTCGAAGTAATCCAACGGTCTGGTGAAGTCAACTGCCCAATGACAATGCAAAATATGCGTTATACTTTTCTGCAGTTCGTAGTAGACCTCCTCGGAGAGTCCTAGGAATGGCTTGGACAGGTCGGCAACCTTAGAATCTAGTTGGACGGAGTGATTCTTGCTTTCATCGTCCGGAAAGCGTTGAAGACAAATCTTCGACTCGTTTGCGCCACTTCGATTGAGACAAGTTATTTGGCTGACTTCCTGACGACGAAGAAGGGATCTTAATGTGTGAGACCCGACAAATCCGGTGGTACCAGTCAAAAGAACATGAACGCCACGGTCGGTGGAAACACTTGACTCCCGCTTTGCAGGGGAATTGGGAATTTCCTTGGAGTATCTGGTAGCCCGTTTAGCATCAAAATGTCACATTTAGTATCGGAATAGTGGCTGACCTTTGTAAAACCTTCTGGAATTCGCTTGCCTCTTGCGAATCATCCCCAAGTGGGTTTTGAGACCCTATCACGAATTCGGCGAGCTTTTGGGGCGTGGGGTTGCGATAAACAGTATCGACAGTAATAGCACGCTCAAGTTGTCCAGTCTGGCGCACAAGAGCCTTTCCAACGACGGAAGCTAGTATTTGTGTTTGACCGGAATCAAGTCCTGCAGCAAAGACGTTTCTTTGTTGATCCAACTCGCTGTCATTCGCCAGAATTCTTTCAACCAACCGAGTCAGGTCGGATGCAAGCAAGTCTTGGGAGGTCATGTCTAGAGTAAGTTCATTCAAACCCTTTGCATTCGAAGGGTCCATAGAACGGTATAAATCATCGATTTCGGTTTTGTACTGTTCAAGTGTTTTGTTACGATTGACTGTTCCCTTTGGTGTTCGGGCAAATTCTTTGTCTGGGGCGGCAATGAGAATTAATTTCTCGTCGATCTGCGCATCTCGAGAATTTCGATCATTCTCAATACCAACCGCCTCCTTGAAAGGCCCTTGAAGTTCAGGTGGGAGAACACTGTCGTAATTTAGGCTATTGTAAGGGTCGTCGAGCTCAATTAGTATTCCTGGGCGTGGTTGCTTGTTGCCGATCACCAGAGCGGCTTTGATTCCGGGAATACCACTGACTCGCCTTTCGACTGGTATTGGGTTCATTTTCTCGCCGGTGGAGAAGACGACTAAATCATCAACTCTGTACCGATACTCCCAATAATCTGGGATTGATGGGTGTTTTCGGAACACATCTTTCGTAGACCATTTGTCAAGATCAGGAAAGTTGTGAAAGACGCCTTGGTATTGTTTGCAAGAACTATCCCGATGGAGAATCAATTCAAATTCGGTCGATTGTTCCTCTGAATTTTCAAGTACTGGATGCCAGTTTATACCATTCGAGGCATGGAAGTGGTAATAGTTCCAGTGTGTTGGATCGGTTGGATACTGAATGAACGATCCACATTCGGTGCTTCCCAGGCCAACAAATAGTCTCGTTTTTGTAACGACTATGTCCCCCGACTTTTGAGCAACTGGGCCTAGACACATGTTTAAGTCAGTTTCCTCCTTATTTTACCATTGCTTCGTGACTTAGGGCTTCATACCTCCGCCTGAGAGGATGTACCGGAGCTGGGATATGTCTTCCAAAACCTCAGAATCTCGCGCTATATCGTCAATGATAGAAGGAGGTATTAAAGCCGCTTCAAGAGATTTGACTCTGAGTGCATCACGTAATATAGAAATGTTCGGTGGCTGACGAGGATATCCAAATAGAAGAACACTGCCCGAAATCAAGAGATAACAGCTTAACGCAAAGCCAGCAACATGGAAAAGAGGGAAAGCGATGTAAACCATTTTAGATTTGGACATAATTTCAAGGTGAGTCTGCATAGCTTTGGGATCTTGCTGCGATATAAGGCGCTGTGCATCAATCGCCCCCAATGCAGAGTGGGTGAACGGTACAGGCTTAGGCATACCCGTAGATCCGCTTGTATGCAGAATCTTTTCGCTTGTTAGGAACCTGAAAATGTGTGAAAAAGAAATCTAAACTGATAACTTACCACTATTGGAAGAGATGAGAGTGACCTCCAACTTCCCTCATATGGGTAGTGCTCCACTGGGTCCAAATCGCCGAGCAATTCCTCCAGGTTGCCAGCCTGAAGTATATCGACCCTTCGTTTCTGGGAAATCTTTTTGGCCGTTTCTGCAAAGTCCAAATCATATAGCAAGGCCGAGCACTGGCACTCTTTCATGAGGTGTTCGTAAATGGAAATACTCCCTCTCGGGGAAAGCAAAAGAATCTGGTTGGTTTAGTGGGCATGGCAAATATGGTCTGCACTACTTCGTACATACCCTGGCTTGTAATTTGGCTGCCGCTAATATGATCAAAAGATGTCTGAGATCACTCGGACCCAAGTATCTACTCACGCATCACATTAGCATTAAAGATCATATGTAAAAGATGGAGTGAGCGAGACATACGCAACGGTTGTTTGGGGTATAAGACCACTTCGATGTAATTTCCAGCATAGTTTGTCAATCAAAATGACCAACTGTTGGTAATTTAAAGTAACGATTTTTGGCTCATGGGAGTCCCCATCTTCCAAGATGAGAAGTTGATAGATAGCTAACTTATAGGGGTTCTGAGAGGCTGTGGCTTCGATATAGTTGAGCAATAAGCGCTCTCCAACCTTTCCATAATTGGAAGTTTCAGTCATGGTGAGAATTGTTTGAATATTGGTAGGTGGTAGGTGTTGAGGTGACTTCTCGCGTTTGTACGGGATCCTACCTACAGGACCAAATTATATACGCAGAATCCCCTTGGTAAAACGTCACACTGCATTTTTAGCATCAGAATTTTCTTCGAGCAGTCGTCGGTAAAAATACCTAGTCCAACTGTTGTCAGTCTCTTCCATCTAAAAGTCTTGGGACTTTCTACGTAAATAAATAAATAAATAGTTTCATATTGTGTGACAGACCTAAGCGAGAGAGTTCTAGATGTACGACAAGACGTAAGGTATGTCTCGGTGGCCGTCTAGGGAACTACCAATGATGAACCAAGTGGCTAAATGGGCTATGGTCACTCGGCATAACTCTCGGACCTCTTCCTGCCCTAATTTCTTTCTTCAAATACTACATTCTGAAGCTGACGTTGAAATAGGTTCTTCGGGAAATATGCGATATTGAACTTTAGTGAAATAATCGTGATTATTAAAAGAGTCTTACATCTATCGGTTTCCTACTAGAAAATTGAATATCATTTCGGATTATAAAGAGGTTACTGTTTATAATGGAACACTGTAGACCGCAGCCCGAAGCGCTTCCTGTAACCTCACGCAAAGAGCTGTTTGAAATAGTTCTCGACCGAGAGAGTCTTGACTGCTGGGAAAAGATCGTTATGCAGCAGCCCTGGAGGCCTCCGGAAAAGGCCCTGACCTTGAATATATCTCAGCGCCAGCAAAAAGTCTATGGGGAAAGTGCTGCCTCCCTGTAATTCTTCGGGTGCCGATGAGGGGTCTTCAATTATTCTCTTCATTTCATCAACAGAAATGACATTCAATTTAACCTGTTTACCCGAATACCGATGCAAAAGGTGTGCAACCTCCCGAAAGGAGATCAGATCACTTCGAAATCCGAACAATTGGTTTTCTGATCTGTCTGGGTAACGAAGCGTTTCAACAATAAAATTCGCGACGTCTACCCGGGACGAATAGTCCATTTTTGCATCCGGGTTCCCAACACAATGCATAACATATCCGTTCTTTAAGCGAGACTCATCTGTCTCAATCCACGGGCAGAGCAGCAGCTCACGAGGTGCATCATAGACTTCTGCGCATGCGACCACAGTATATGTCATCCGCCCGTCGTGGATAGATGGATGTTGAAGGACATCCTCGAGCTGCCTCATTTTTGACGCCCAGGTCTAGATGGCTATTAGAACATGCGAAGTTACTGAGATATCAGACTTACAGGATTAAGATATACATCTCCGTCAGGCAGCCAAACCACATGATGCATTCCAAACTCGCTGGGATAGAATCGTCTGGCTCCAGCTTTTGCGGCGGCATCTTGAACAACACTCTGCTTTGCAAGAATTTCGCCTCCTAAAGCACTGAAAACCACATCAACCTTCTCATCTGCCAACAATGCTGCAAGGTCATCCGTAGCAATATTCATAAGATCTACTCTCTTAACTATTGAATTTACTTCCCCATAGTCAAGTAGATCAAAATCCGAATTTGGGGGGACAAATGCAACAACTTTGAACTCCTTGGAATTGACCAGGGCTTCAAAGACAGGTTTCCCCATTTGACCATTAGCTCCAAAGAGAGCTATGGTCTTGAAAGGCGATGTCATAATGCGTTCAAAATTTAGTATAGTTTTAGGAGCCCTTCACCAAATATCAGACAATTTTCAGAGTAAGCGGTGGACTATCGATAGATAATACTTCCCTGTATATTAATGCACACACTACTCACCACTAACTGCTTCAATATCTCAGACTCTTGAAATGGTCACTAATTTTGCAACTAGACTGCATTGAAGGTCGAGTTTGAGCTCTAGGGGTCCCTTTTTGGATAAATGCGTTGCATTCTGCAATGCTTCCAAATCATGCATTGCACTCTCCCATCTGTAGGATCAAATTTATAGTAATTTACTTGCTTGTCGACATATCTGGGTCACACACATTGATGCAAGGTAGATTTCTACCTAAATCAGTACCTGATACACTGTGCAATGACTATGCCTTCAATGCTATTTGATCTTTCCTATTTAGGTATTCCGGTATGTTCGCTTATCTAAATTCGGTGTTCACATTATTGCATGTGAATATAATGTTGCAGGTAGATTCTAATAGTGTAGATTTGCTATATGAGAAGAAAAGTAGTAGTTATGGTATGTTGAATCTAAGGCATCTATATTCTCTTGGAGGCCTCAAGTCATACATCCAGCTCTCCTCCTTTCCTCTCTCGCCCACTTCGCTCCATGAAAGTCACACATGCTCTTTTCCATTGGGATTCCTTTATTGATTTCCAGATATACCCGAGAAAAGAAAAAAAAATGGAAGAAAAAGATGTTTTAATGACCTTCAACTCGCACACAACGTGAGACCTCTAGACCATCCTGTTTCTATTAAGCAATCTGTCTTAAGGCGTTTGCGTTTGCGTTTGCGGGAAACTCACAGGTTCACCAGTTGGCGCCCAACTTTCAATTAGGGTAGTCTCATAGATCAGATATGGGTTTCCCAAGGACTGTTCTTTGCTTGGATCTGCTAAAGAAGCCATCCATACCTTGTTCTCCTGATCCACACGACGAATCTTATCCCCGATCGACTCTCTCACATAGGCACGGTACTCAGGATTACCTGGCGAAATCACATTGTCGGCAATCACAGTTGTCCCGGGTCTCACTATACTGAGCTCTTCACAGAGCTTCAAATCATTGACATATTGAAGCTTTGCATGGTCAATGAAAAGCACATCAGCTGCGCCAGTCGGGTAAGTCTGCCGTAAGTTGCGGAGAGAGTCACGGCAGGGCCCGACAATAATTTCCACTACATCTTCCAATCCGGCAAGTTCCACCAAAGCCGCAGCTACAGCAGCGAACTTGAGGCTTGCTTCGAGACTGAGATACTTGCGGCCACCAGCGCGCTTTAGGGCACTGCCGAAAAACAAAGCAGAGTATCCCACATAGCCTCCCAGTTCAATCATGAAATCGGGTCGTAACTCGGGAATCAGTTTCTCGGCCACGATTTTACCTTTCTCCCAGCCGACATTCATGAGAAAGTCACGTTTGTGTCCATACTCGTCGATTGCGGCTAGAATTATCTCCGGTTTTCCTTGCATCTCTTTGTACTTTGGATGAGATTGAATAAATTCTAGAAGTCGCTCTTCGCGGCCGTCATTATGCTATTCAAGATATCAGATTCTGGGAGCTAGTGAAGTGCACGAGTTGAACATACATAGACAGCCTCCTCCGGTTTATAGACTCCGTTCTGGTGTTTTGTCATATTGAATGTCTCTGAGAAGTGTTTCGATATAGAATATTCTTTGCGACTTGGGATACTTCTTGGAGAATGAAAGCATGAGACCTCAATTTATTATATAAATTCGCTTATAGATATAGGTTTTACCTGTTTAAATCGAAGGATACTCCCTGATCTGTAGCCTTTGTTATTGATAGAACATAATGTCAATGACAGCATTTTATCGGGCCACTTGACGAATAATAATACAGAGGCAATCCAAATATTTCAAGGTATGCACAGCAACTTGTGGTACACAATTCTTTGCGCAAGACGATGATTCGTCGATCTTAACCATTTGAGGGACCTGCCGCTGAAGGAATACCGGCATATATGCTAGAAAAGCAGCCAAGTTCAAGCCAGTGATTCTGATTTAGGTTCAACGGATTGTAATGGTTGGAAATATATCCCGATGCAGAAATACACATATGTGGCTACATACGTACAACCTTGATGCATGCCGTGCAATATATATACATACCGCCGAATGTGTTTTCACCAATGAGCATACAGATAAATAACAGCTAGACATACGGTCTCCGATAAACTTCGTAACAGTGCAAAAGTTGCTCCTAAGCCTACGGGATATAATCTCCGGCTCCCGAAGATCGGATGGAGTTTGAGTGATACATCTTCGATTTCCTAGATTCTGATATAATTCACCGAATGGGTTTGATTAGTTTGAAGATAGTGGATACTCCTATACTCGGCATCTGTGGTTGTAACGTTACAACTACAATGCCATTCCGGTTGCCTTCTGCAGTGGTTCCCTCAATCTTCCACCCCGAATGGCGGTATAGATCAGTGAAAGTCTTGTTCCAATGGTCTTATTGTCCTTTGCATCCCCGGTATCTCCGGGGTGGTCCACGAGTCCTTGGTGTAGAGGAACATGCAGGGTTTGCCGTACCCAAATATAGATTTCCTTCGTCGAGGTGGCCAAATAGCGAGGAGTCGATTTTTCAATGAGGAACTGATGACGAGTTTCCCCGTGCGCCTTCTTCAAAATAGATGCAACGCCAGCCCTCCATCTCGGAAATAGTTTTATCCGATCGAAAGGTAAAGATGACTCGGAAATTGTTATCTGATCGGCGGCACAATGGGCTGAGTCTGCTGCAACTTTCTCGCACCGCGTTTCAATCTCGTCCGAGTCATTATGCGCATCCCATGATTTAGTGATGGCAACCCACAGCGTATCAAAAGGGGGTATTTCCCCAGCACGCCATAGTTCTTGGTAGAGGTCACGGAGAGATACCTTTGCAGTAGCTAAGAAGTCCAGTGTCATAGCTCGTAGATCGAGGGCTTGGCAGAGAACGTATAGATGAGCTGCACACATCATGGTCACAATATCGACACCTTCCTTAACATATCGACATGCGATCAGAGCTAGCGAGTTGACTGATTGGTTGTTCATATCCGCAACATGCACATGACTTACAACGGAATTGCTCAAAAATGCCAGTTCCGAGAAGTAAGCCGACATATTTACGTCGATACCCTTGCATGTAAACGAGATACTGGGGTCATCGAAGCAGAGATTCGGCGCTAATCCCTTGTTGAGGCTGGGATTGATGATCTCCTGACACTGTGATACAAGAAGCCTGCCAAGCATCACCAGTGCTGTTTTAGCCTTTTCCATGGCGCTCGTGATAGATGCAGCTTGGAAATTTCCACCATGATGAAATCGATCTCCCGCTACATCGATCAGTGGGTTATCGGTCGATGAATTTAACTCAATGGTAATCTGCCGATTGGCCAGTAAGAGATCTTCGGTCACAGGCCCAAGCCACTGCGGCGCAGTACGCAAGGCGTATCGATCTTGGGCGAGACCTTGCCTATGAACATGTGTCCTCTCGGCTAACATAGTTCCAGCTAAGAACCCACGGATATTGCGGGCCACTTCTCTCTGCCCCGGGTGTGGCCGACACTGTGAGATGAACTCGTCATAATTGTCCACTGATCCGAGAAGTGCCTCGGTTGACATTGCGGTGAGGACCTGGGTCAGAACAGTGAGGTTGTTGACATCATACAATGTGAGCGCAGCAGCCGCAGCACTTGGTGCAGTTCCGTTCATGATGCCGAGGCCTTCCTTTGCCCTCAAAGTTAGAGGTGTGATGTTGGCTCGACGCAGCGCATTCGCAGCTGACATCAGCTCAATCTCTATTGTTGTTTTTCCATTGCTATGACATTCCCGTCCCACCTGCACGAAGATGTCAGGACTTCCCTCAATCAATCCACCAAGATAGGCAAGTGGTGATAGATCCCCAGAGGCCGAAATACTACCTCGAAGAGGGATAAGTGGAGTAATGCCAAGGTTGAGGGCCTGGACCAATAGCTCGATAACCTCCATTCTGACAGCAGAATGCCCCCGAAGCAAGGAGTTGCATCGCAAAAGCATAGCACCCCGCACAACCTCTCGCGGCAGGGCGTGATGACTAGCGTCGTGGAACATAGTGTACGAACTATTCCCATTTTCGGGCAGTGAGAGTAGAATGCCTGATTGATGATGCTGTAGGAAGGCTTTCTGGAGTAAATCAAGTTTTCTCGTCCGTGTGTTTGCGTTGCCACCACAACCAGTATTTACCCCTTCAGTGTATAAAATCGATCAGCAACTTCACAATGAACAGAATCAAATCATTTTCCACGTACCGTATATATCCTCTCCATTATTTAAATGCGAGTTCAATGTGGCAATGCTTTCCTGAACCCGAGCCACAATGGGATCGGACTGTAGGATTGAAGCATCAACTAAGAGCCTAAAAGTGTGCCATGGGGATCAAAATCTAGACACCATCAAGACTTCTGAGTAATTCACCTTGCCACGGCAACAATATGGGCTACCTGCAATGATTCAGGCTCCCCGTCTAATGTAACCACGCTAGCTCTGCCGCTATTCTCATTGAGAATTCTCCAAGCCCTACGGACTTCATCAAGGTGCGTCAGCATGATTGTCTTATCTTCCAAAAAGGAAATAGACTTTTCGAAGGTAGCCGTGATATGGAATTTAACGATGATGATATAGTTGTTTGTAAATGGGATTGTTCGTAGTGGAGTGTAAAGACATCTGTCCTGTGATTCGAGTAAAGTACCGATTCTTATGCTTTCTCTGGGCCTAGTATATACGCATTGTAATGTCCATACACATTTACCCATTAAGTTTATTGTGTCTCAGAATAAATGCATACAAGTGCATATTAATAGTCACTCTGACATTCCTCGGGTAGATGGATCAACTGTATCACGAGGTTATGCCTAAGTCCCGGAAAGGAAAGTGAGATTCTTGGTCATGGATGCCTTCGAAGAATTGGCGTAAGTCCCCGAACACTGTGAAGGGGATATAGGCATGAGGAGACGGCAGGAATACTAGGCCGGGGCCTGACCTTCAAACAACAACAAGCTCCAACCGCTTTCCTACTGCAAAATGACGCCAGATGAATTTAGTGTCGATGTTCTCATTGTTGGCGCAGGCCCTGCAGGGTGCGTTTTTCATGTGGGACTAGCAAGATTGGTACCTCGTTGACAACTTTTTTGCAGACTCATGGCCGCGACTTGGATGGCACAGACAGGAATCAAGGCCATGCTAATTGACAAAAAGGCGCAGAGGACCCAGGTCGGGCATGCAGATGGGGTAGAAAGCCGCACATTAGAGATACTAGACAGTTTCGGACTAGCAGAATCCATCTACAGGGATGCCAATCTCACTATTGACTTGTGCTTGTGGGTAAGTGAATATATATTGTTTGGTACTTGGAGGAATCGGATTAGTCTTCTTTGCTTTTCTCTTTCTCTCGCTGACCTTTGAGCACTATGCAGAATGAGTTGGAGAATGGTGACATACAACGTCAAGCGCAGCTCAACAATGTAAGCCCAGGACTTTCCCGGTATCAAGAAGCCACTTATGGGCAGGGGAAGCTTGAGGAGATCTTTTTGCAATTTCTTCAATCTCATAGCTCAGTCGAGGTTCGATGGAACACGTCGCCTGTCAAATTGGATATTTTGCAAAAATGCACAGACTATCCTGTGAGAGTGATGATACAAACAAAACAAGCGGATGCAGAGGTATATAACTCCTTTTTCGTTCGATCTGGAAATAAAATTAACAACTGCCATAGTGTACCTCGGCCGTGGTAAATGCCAGATACGTGGTTGGTTGCGATGGAGCCCGAAGTTGGGTCCGAACGAGGCTCGGTCTTAAGCTCGAGGGAGATCACATGAACGAGAGTTGGGGAGTTATTGATGTGATACCTGTGACCGATTTTCGTGAGCTTGACCTGCTAGCCCCTTTGCTCCGATTGATCACTGATGCAAGCTAAAGCCGACATCCGCAAAAGATGCATCATAAAATCCAAGGCTGGCCATATGATGATTATACCTCGGGAAGAAAGACTGGTTCGGTTTTATGTTCAGCTTTCTCCCAGAGCCGCCGCGCTATTCAAGGCAGACTACCATCCGAAGACCCTGGTAACCATCGTGAAAGATATCCTCCGTCCGTATATCTTCGAGGCGCCATGCATTGAATGGTCGACCATATACACAGTTAGTCCAAGTCCGTTGCTCGTGGTATCATGGCAGTAATTTAACACAACCTATATAGGTTGGGCAAACACTGTGTCCCACTCTGTCGAAATATAACCGAGTGTTCCTGGCCGGTGATGCGGTACACACCCATTCGCCCAAGGCTGGAAAGGGCATGAACGTCAGCATCCAAGACACGTTCAATCTAGGCTGGAAATTAGCTTCTGTGATTAAAGGAAAGGCCACACCCAACATTTTGCATACATACGAGGCCGAGCGTCGTGCGGTCGCGATGCAGCTAATCGCCTTTGATAAACGAATGGTCATGGGGATTGGTGAAAAAGAGCCAACGTCAGATACCATCGGACAAAACGGGGGTACCCTTCGCGCAACTCTCGAGGAGGAAAATACCTCTCAGTCTGGGTCACAGGCCTGCTATCAACCCGGTCTGCTTGTAACACAAGCATGGGACAACAGACGAACTCGGAAGGGCCAGGTGCTAGAGTCGATGCTCCCACACAGCAAAACCAATCTCGCCACAAATATTGTTGTGGGTGCAAGAATACCGAGTGCAGAAGTCTTGTGCCAGAGCGACTCTCGCCCTCATCATATCCAACGACTGCTTTGGAGTACTGGAGGGTGGTACTTGCTAGTTTTTGGCGGTGATATATTGGAGAAGTCTCAAATGAGTCGGCTCCAACATCTTGGCTTGCGGCTTGGGCGAAAAGACTCTCTCATGAATAGAATCAATCAGCAGAGTGATCCAGTCGGTAGGATTACGACTTACCTATTTCACTGTGCCCCCCGAGACAAGGTTGTGTTAATGGAGTTACCGCAGGTCTTCAGACCGTTTGACAGAAAGCTTGGATATGATTATTGGAAAGTTTTTGCCGATAATCAGCCATATAGCGAGGAACGTGGATCTGCTCATGAGTTTTATGGGGTCTCGGCGGAAGGGTGTATGGTCCTCGTGCGTCCTGACCAACATGTTGCATTTATTGGGTCATTGAAAGACTTGCATGAGGTCGAAAGGTTTTTAAGAAGCTTCATGCTTGTTAGTATAGAATGAGGTAGGTTGGCAAACCTCCAGTGTACCAACATCACCATTGTTGACAGCAACATCCACCTCGACAATGGCACAGTCGAAGGCGGGTACTTGTGTGGGAACGTCACGAGTCTAATATGGCTTAATTGAACCAGTATAGAAAAATTTGACATAAAATCCATATACGTATGCATGATGCCAGATGAGATGAGGTTGCAGTGGCCGCAATATAAATGCAGTGTACGTGTACTGGGGAAGCGGAGGATAAAATGTAAATTAGGCTGGACATTAGCATCAAAGTCCGATGTAGTGTAGGGGTTATCACTGTGCTCTTTCACAGCACTAACGGGGGTTCGAATCCCCCCATCGGAGATTTCTTTTTTTTTCTCGTACTTTTTTTTCGCCATCTTTCTATATCCGTTGTATCCATTTTTGCAAGCTATAAATAATAACCCCATGCTCGTAGGATACGCAGGAATAGCTATACTCTTATCTTATGCTCGAAATTAGAGATGTCATGTTTTCTCACTTTGACACTTCATATAGAAAGAGATGGGAAACTATTGATAACGATAATGTCGTCATTGGATATTACCAGAATTGGTTCAGTTTTTATCTCTAATGACAGTTATTGAATCCTATAGGCATATAAAAGCTCTTTGGTGTGATGTTGTCTGTAAAGTTTCCTAGAAAATAGCCCACGCTCACAACCGATGCTGAACTGATAGACCTGCATATATATATGTGTGCTTTGTGGTTACTTTGTCCGTTTCTTTTTTGGATGTTGGCAGTATAAAATGGCATGGTATTGCGTTAGAAGATAACGGGACTAGATATTGTTCCCTTTACCTTGGTTTTTGCCGATCGATTTGATATATATATTTGCGAGTGACACACGAACGAGGGTGACAAGAGCTTTTGGTATCATAGATGCACAAAATCTTTCAAAGATATATTAGCCTCCTCTCACATAACTGAATTGACTGGATATTAAGTCCATATAGAGAGCACTGGTCTTCAGTGCCTCTTCAGGTGGTTCCAACTGGTCTTAATACATTCCTAATGGTTGAGCAATAACCGTTCAGTCCTTTGAAGAACAACACCCATAGTGCTATACAAAATATAGCCATCTTTCCTCCTTGAACTGTGATAATCTACAAGATATAAAACTTAATTACTTGGAAATCCAACTTAACAGCAACAATGAACATGCAAATCAACAAGGATAGCTGGGATAAGTATCCCTAGATTGCTGAAAATAATATAACAATCCGATGTAGTGTAGGGGTTATCACTGTGCTCTTTCACAGCACTAACGGGGGTTCGAATCCCCCCATCGGAGTTTCTTTTTTTTTCCCCCTAATTCCCATTTGCATCATTATTTCCGTGGTATTGTAGCAATGCTTGTTTTTTTTTGTTCTCTCCAATATAGAGCTCTTTCTTCATAATCCATCTCACCTCCTGAGGTCAATCAACCTGAATGGGTGTCTTTCAATTCAACAACCTCTATCTAGTAGCCCCATGCGATAAGTTTGATTTCACCGGGACCTAAGAAGTATCATCAATATGTCGGCGCTTTCTCCAGTCGGCGTTGCCGGTCATCTTTCCGGATACATTGGCGTACATAGGCATGAAGATATTCAGCCTAAAGCAACACGAGAATTAACTCAGCCCTGAAGACTTCCACCACAACGGGAAACGATCTACACACTAGTCATCATTGAAGACCTCGGGATTCATGCATTCTTCCACGCATTAGTTTGTCTGAGGCCTTGTTTTCCCCGTGTTCAACGGGCAAATTGCCAGCCCCATAACCATATATTCGAGGAAATTCAGCCACTCATGGCGGGAGCCTCTACCCGGGGCTCCATTAGAGCGCATGTAAACGCTTGGCTCGTATATTGACGGCAGATTACCGTGTCGGATTTGGCAAATTGTGCTTCATGGAATCAGCACTGTAGGCAGCGAAGTTGAACAGATGTAACCTTGATATATATTTACGTATTGGAAGTTTCCGCACACCTGGATTAATGAGTATAGTTGAGGTGAGAAAGAAGGACCAGTAAATATGCATTTTAAAACCAGGGGATTTTAGGGTACTCCACGCAAGTGCCATGCGGGGATCCTTCACATTTACCGGTGAAATTATATTCCTTCCACTCATGAACAAGATGTCACATGGTAGCCGTATCTACGCGCTACATTTCGAATTCTTAGTTCGTGGAATAGACTACGGCGTATTCGGTAATAGAATCCTAAAACGCCGGCCTTGCCGGTCTGCCAGGGCCCGTGTCTCCATTTGGAATATTGTCCATAACTACTGGACCCCCGCAATGCGATCGACAGTGCTAGCCAAGACTTAGCATGTGCATGTGTTCCTTCATCTTACGTTCTCTTCTTCTAATGCTTCAGGTTGGGCAATATGATATGTGGGATGTCTCCACAGATCAGACCATGGCCCTTTGGTCTATTATACCTACTCCGGAATGTCTTTCTTACTTCGGACTAGAGATGCTCAAGGAAGTATAGAGTCATGATATACCTAACCTTTACAAGATTAGCATGTGTGAATAGAGTCTTGGTTTCAAACCCATGTGTTCCCAAGAGAATTACTCCAAGTGCTATCTCATTTCTGTAAACGGTGGATGATAAGAATGGGGTCATATCAGATTACTAAATAGGCAATGCAAGGGCATTATTTTCACAAATGTTTCGGACTGAAACGCTTTTTGCCCGAAATATCTCCAGAAAAATCCTCCGTGTTTGGGCTTAACGCCTCGTACGCCTCGTGGACTTACCCATCACACAAAACGCCTTTTTAGCGGTTTGATGTCAGTGGACGAGCGCCGTGGCGCCCATCCCATCTAGCGGCGCTCTTGGCAGGCTTCAACCCCTTCAACCCCACAAAGTGTCTCATGATCCTTTCTGTGGAGCATATGGAGTAGTTTAATCATAAAGCCAAATTTCTATCCGAGCAGTACCGGCCCTGATATCCAAATGAAAGATCGACAGGCAACATACCTCAGATAGTCTTAATCTGTGGTCATGGCTCCTTACATTAACAAACCCCCCCGAATCTTGTACAGCAATTGACAGAACTGGACCGGGGGATCCTCCGTTTTCACAGATGTTGAAACGGTTTAACCAAGTTTATCCACTCCAATATCAGTCAGGATCTTGATGAGACTTCTCACAATGGCCATCTAGCGATGATCATTCCCTTCCTGATTCAGGGCCCGATTCCACTCTCAAATCAATGTACTGCAACGGAGGTCATCCAGTATGGATGCTTATTCCGGATTGATGATTGTGGACTCTCCATCCTTACCAATTTGGTGACGGCCTCACGGTCCGTCACCCCGGGCATTCGATGCAGAAACGAACCTTGTCAAGCTTCACATGGAATGACATGGAGGAATCCTGTGCATAGAAAATTACATATAAAGATCTATTCCCACCCCGACATTATTTCTGTTCATCAACTGCAGGCCAGACAACAAGATAACAAGACAACATTGCCAATCAATCTTTCCGCTATATCAGCAATGTATCAGCGCGCTATTCTTTTCTCCGCCCTGGCGGCGGCAGCTCGTGCCCAGCAAATTGGCACATTGAAGCCCGAGACCCATCCTTCTTTGACCTGGCAAAAGTGCACTGCTGATGGCACTTGTGCTGATCAGAAGGGCTCTGTTGTCATCGATGCTAACTGGCGTTGGCTTCACTCTACCGAGGGTTCCACCAACTGCTACACTGGAAACGAGGTAAGAGACAATCGAGAAGATGAGTGTCCATGTTGATTGACTTTTTTTTCCGATAACAGTGGGATGCAACTCTCTGCCCCGATGACAAGACCTGCGCCACCAACTGTGCCCTGGATGGCGCCGATTACGCCGGAACCTACGGTGCGACCACCGACGGCAATGCCCTCTCCTTGACCTTCGTCACTGGCGCCAACGTTGGCTCCCGTCTGTTCCTGATGGAGGACGAGGAAACCTACCAGATGTTCAAGCTGAAGAACCAGGAGTTCACAGTTGATGTCGATACTTCCGAGCTGCCTTGCGGACTCAACGGAGCTCTGTACTTCGTCTCCATGGATGCCGATGGTGGTTTGGCTAGATACGAGGGTAACAAGGCCGGCGCCAAGTACGGAACTGGCTACTGTGATTCCCAGTGCCCCCGTGACTTGAAGTTCATCAACGGAGAGGTGAGTTTTATACCGGCCAATTCAAAAAGGTTGTGGGAACATGGCTAACGCGCGATACAGGCCAACGTGGAAGGCTGGGAGCCTTCTGAGAACGACAAGAACGCCGGTGTTGGCGGCCACGGATCTTGCTGCCCCGAGATGGATATCTGGGAGGCTAACAGCATTTCCACCGCTTACACCCCCCACCCTTGCGACAGCCCCGAACAGGTTATGTGCGAGGGAGACGCCTGCGGTGGAACTTACTCCTCCACCCGTTACGCCGGAACCTGCGATCCCGATGGATGTGACTTCAACTCCTTCCGCATGGGCAACGAGACCTTCTACGGCCCCGGCATGACCGTCGACACCAAGTCCAAGGTCACCGTTGTTACTCAGTTCATCACCGCCGACGGCACCGACTCCGGCGCCCTCAGCGAGATCAAGCGCATCTACGTTCAGGATGGAAAGGTTATCGCCAACTCTGCTTCGGAAATCGCCGGTGTCGAGGGAAGCTCTCTCACCGAGGAGTTCTGCGCTGCTCAGAAGAAGGCCTTCAAGGATGAGGAGAGCTTCACTGCCCACGGTGGTCTTGCTGGTATGGGCAAGGGTTTGGACCAGGGAATGGTTCTCGTCATGAGCTTGTGGGATGACCACCACTCTAACATGCTCTGGTTGGACGGCGAGAAGTACCCCACTGATGCTGATGCCTCCACTCCTGGTGTTCCCCGCGGCACTTGCGCCACCACCTCCGGCGACCCAGACACCGTCGAGAAGGAGCACGCCAACGCCAAGGTGACCTACTCCAACATCAAGGTCGGCCCCATTGGCTCCACCTTCAAGTCCTCCTAAAGAGACAAAAACTAGGTATTTGCTGAAGCTCAATTGCACCTGGAATGCGGGGTTTCTGTGCTGTGTAAATCCATCCCCTCACCAGTGGCAGCAAATGCACAATTTGGAGGAAAGTGGTGAATGATATATAGGGTTTCTTTCGTCAATATTTGTCTGTATTCTTGATTTCATTTTGTCTTTCCTAGAATCAGATTTGTTTTATCAGAATTGAATTGATTTCATTCGCCGATTTGGACTTGAACAAGTAATGAAAGCGGTCGGGACATTCTCGGCCCGGCAGAAAAAAAACGGCCAGCTCTAAAGCTCCAGCTTTCGCAATTGATTTTTTTTAATTCACGCGAGTTCAAATTTTCTACTAGGCTCAATAGAAGCCTTCATATTTTGTATTTATTTCTGTCGCAATTTGCAACCATGTTCGACACGGTCTGCACGCTTCCGCTTTCGTCGGACTTGTTCGCTCAGGCTATCCACCCCGAGGAGCCCGTAGTCTCTGTCGGACTGGCCTCGGGCCACGTCCAGACCTTCCGACTGCCTTCCTTAGAAGCGGAGGGCGACGAAGATGCCGGATCGAATTCGTCAGCCCGAGCTGGGAAGGGCCACATTGACACAATGTGGAGGACCCGGCGGCACAAGGGTAGTTGCCGCACCCTAGGGTTCGGTGTCGACGGCAAAACGCTTTACTCGGCTGGTACAGACGGTCTCGTGAAGGCTGCAAGTGCCGAGACTGGTCAGGTGGAGAACAAGATTGTGATTCCTCTCGAGAAGAATGGGTAAAGGAACTCCGGACATTAGGCATTGCGATCCGACCTTTACATTTAACTGACCTCTGCTTTTGTATCATATAGCTCTATTGATGCGCCAACCATGATCCACGCTCTCTCTCCTCAAACTCTTCTCCTCGGAACAGACTCAAGCGCTCTGCACATCTACGACCTCCGGATTCCTTACTCCAAGGTGTCCGCACGGCCTGAGCAGTCGCACCACCCCCACGACGACTACATCTCCTCTCTCACCCCTCTGCCGGCTTCTGAAACCAGCACATCGGGATTCAGCAAGCAATGGGTTACAACTGGTGGAACAACCCTGGCCGTGACAGATCTCCGTCGGGGCGTTCTGGTGCGCAGCGAGAACCAGGAAGAGGAATTGGTCAGCTCTGTCTTTATGCGTGGTCTGCCTAACAGTGGAACTAGCCGGGGCGAAAAGGTCATTGTTGGTGGGGCTAGTGGTATCATTACTCTCTGGGAGAAGGGCGCTTGGGATGACCAGGATGATCGGATCTATGTTGACCGTACCGATGGCGGAGATTCTATCGAGACAATGGCAGTTGCGCCTGACTATTTGGGCAAGATCGTGGCCGCAGGCCTCTCAAACGGAAAAGTGAAATTCGTGCGCATCGGATCCAACCAAGTTGTTTCTGAGGTTGTGCACGATGAGGTCGATGGTGTTGTAGGCCTGGGCTTCGATGTGGAGGGCCGCATGGTCTCTGGTGGTGGCCAAACCGTCAAGGTGTGGCACGAGGCTGAGGACAATGTCGGTGGTGGATCTGGCGACGAAGACATGATGGATGATAGTGATGACGACAAAGATTCAGATGACAGCGAGCCGGAGCGTCGCGAGGAGCCAAAGGATCGAAAGAAGCGCAAGAAGTCCAAGGGCAAGGACCTCAGTGGTGCACAGCATGTCATGGCCTTCCACGACCTGGACTAAGTGTCTTAATACCCCATTATCTGATACCCACATTTGCAGAGCAATTGTTCAGCCCGAAAACAAGAAAAAGTGTATATAGCGTTGGTGTTAGGGTTTCCAAGGGAGGAAGAATATCTCTCCGTATGTATCATCTTCTCCAGACATTGGATAACATGGAATGAAACTACATGTTCCCCCCTTACTTTACTCCATAAGTGTTTCTCCCTCGTAATTCTTAATATACCCCATCTAGACGGAATTATCGAGCGTGATCGTACACTAGACGTGCGATATAATCCTTAGACGTTTCTGGAGGTTGCCTTTGAAACAGGCGTTTGAGATCTGCAAGGATAATCGTACTCTCTCCGGAACCATAATTGTTGGGAGTGGAGTAAGAGATCTACTAGTTCTACTAGTCTGATCTCTATCTTGTACTTTAAATGGATATTATCACGTGAATTATATGCTTTAAGACATCCAACCATTGAGCTGTGTCTGCTCAATGTGTCTGTTGTGACTAGGTAAATTGGGAATTTATAATAAGCAATAAAAGGATTCTAGTACTAGAAGAAATCGTCATATAAATTAAGTTTAGTTACCTCTATATAAAACCCTGACTCTACCATGCCGGGGGAGCATTTTCCGCAGGCTGTGCTCTGTGTTGATTGGGTCGAGTCTCATGGGTGATATCAATCTGGTTGGAGACCACGATAGCACCCGTGGTAGTTTTGTCAGACAGATGGGCCGGATATGCCTTTATGTTCTGCAATTTGACATCCTCCATCATCCGTTCCTCACTCTCGGTAAATGACATGCCAATGGTCATAGGATCGGTACTGGCATCCCCGCGCCCCTTCCGACTGGGATAGTCACCTCCGCCACCAATGCTCCGGAAACCATTCGAGGGCGATTTATGTGTCTTCTGAGACGTTTGGAACTGACTGCCGAGAATTTTGCTGAGCCAGATTCTGAATAGGTGGAAGATCATGGGAAGATTGGTCGTGACGACTGCGACGAATGTTTCGCGCGTGCCCCATTCGTCGGCCACTTGTGCGCCGTCTTCAGGCTCCTATGAAAACATATGAAATTAGACGAATACCTTCAAGTGGGGGATAATACGAATATGAAACTTACTACTAGGAGGAAAACACTCTTAATAGTGGCGCAGACAAGAATAAAGACACCCGCACTGAGCACGATAGTGGCCGCGATCTTCTTCAATGGCTTTAGACTCGATTTCCAAAGCATGGGAATCGGGATGAGTATGAGGTATGGATCCGTTAGGAGGTTTGCGGCGAAGGTTACTGCGATGACCGGCTTGGAAATGGCTGGTTGACAGACGTCTAGAGATATAGTTAGCATTCAATATCTGCTAACAATGTTGGAATGGGATACTGACTGCCAGGGTCCGGGTTAATCTGCCAGTTTTTGTGGAATGGTCGGCATGCCGTGAAGATTGTGATAACACTTGCGAGGAAGCTCGCCAGGACAAAGCCAACCCCGACATAGATGGGAATTTGATAACGTCGACCAAGACCGTCCTATTTGGTATCAGTAACTTGCTGCGAAACACTGATTGCCAGAAATTAAAATTATTACCATTAGTCGAACGTAGAATGCTAGCATGGACAATTTGAGTGCATTAATCAATGCTACATAAGTAGTCCAGCCCGCGATTTGAATCTTGGAGCCAATCACTCTAGCCAAATGGTTAGTGATCCAATTTGAATTTGCTCCTTAGTTGATAATTGGCATACCTGGCGTGGTACATTGGGTTGTCGGGCAATAATGCCTCTCGTTGAGTTGCTGTCATGCCATTGTTGGCGAGGCCGTGAGACACATTGCCCACACTGTGTGCAAGCGCCGCCTGTGCAGTATATAGGAGCTGTATGGATTGAAAATTAGTTCCTAGTAATCTGGTATAGGATCAATCGGAGTCAATTACAATTCCAGCCCATACGAGGTAATCGTCGAGTCGTAGATTTCTCAATCCCCCGCTCCTCGACCGAGCATATGTTCTAAGAATTGTCACGGCAACAGCAATTGAATATAATGTCCACAATTCAACTGTGGACTTGTAGGCATCTGACGCGGCATCTCGTGCCTCTAGGCCAAATGCCATTGAGGCCGACATGTGTGAATAACAGCGGGGGTCGGGGTTAGCGTAACGAAGAACAAATAAGAATGAAAGCGCAAAAAGAGCTACATCTGTACTCCGTACTAGCGCGAATCTCTCTTCGATGGATCGCGATATCGCTCCTAAAATGAACAAATCGATGAGGTGGATGGGTACGTCAAAGCTCCATACTCCGTGTAATTTCCATGGCTAGATTATACCGAAAAGGATTTGGTTCGTTCGGTTCACGAGAAAATCTAATCGGTACCATGGTTTTTTTGAAAGCCACAAAATCCAGGCAAGTGATAAAGTTTTATTTAAATTGCTTTGTATTGATGTATCCACGGAAGGCCACGGCCAGCCCGTGGATCCTTCAGCTGACCACAAATTTATGAAAGTTTTACTCGGATTCGGCATTGTACTAGGCAAATCGGGGAACCTGACAGGGATCTTGGAACGTGCGTGGCTGCCCCTGAAGAAAAGAAATTTGAACTGCCGAGTTTTATAAATTGAACTTGATATATGAAGTGTCATTCTAAATTAAATCCTTCAAACCTAAGACACATGGATAGTTGAAGATATCCACTAGTGAGATACTAGTGGAAAATTTGGGAGGCGCTACCCCACATATTTGGGGCCAAACCAGATCCTATGACCAACCACAATGCAGATATGTTTCCGGCCGAGCGCCAGAGGGGACCTCGGGACTCAATGTCCAGATGGGGTGCGCTTATTAGGGCTGCGATTCCGGCGGATGTAACATAGCCAAGTTAGCCCCTGCGTTAGCGTATAGAAGCTGCCGGCAGTTGCCAGCAGAAATATTCAGCCATCGACGATTCCAAGGTTAGGATGTGTAATTACGGGAGGCAGATTCACAAACCGTGGACCAGTTGAACCTAACGTGCTATAACACTGTGAATAGTGGAGTGCTGGTCAATGTGGAGTTCTTATCTTTGTCTTATAACTTTGCCATCGAGTATTTTTTCAAGAATAATACAGAATACGGAGTATAGAGTACACTCCATACTGCGTTATTAAGGAGAGACAGTCTAACCGAGCTAACTCTAGGGCAGTTTTATTCCGTACAATTGCCGTAAATAACATGCAATAAATAGTTAGCGCATCGCAGAACTGACAGGGATTATTCCTACAGAGTATAGAGCGTGCAGCCTACCCACTTTTTTTTGCTGACGTCCTCTGACGATCAAACGCAAGGGGCATTTGGTCTTTACTTTTTCTTCCTCTATCAAGGACATTCCCTTTTAAGCAATGTATTTCAAGACAGAGGTGATCACCGCCGTTGCGGCCTGGGCACTTTCCGCCGCCTCTCTGAGTTTTTATAGCGACTGCGATTATATCGAGGGGGGTCTTTGCCCACGTGGCGATGCTGATTTCCAAGACCTCGGGAAGCAGCTTTCGAGCTCTGCCAAGGTGTATTTCCCTGGGTCGAGCGGGTTCACTGAACTCACAACGCGGTGGTCTACTCTGGAAGAGCCCAAGGTGAACGTCGTCGTCGTGCCTGGCACTGAGAACGATGTTGTCCAAACGGTAGGTAAAATCTTTTCCTTTTTTTTTAAAAAAAAGAAACTATATGTGGCAATCGGGGAAAGACAGATACTAATTGCAACGATTGTATAGGTGAAATACGCCAACAAGAAGGAGGTGCCTTTTCTCACGTTCAATGGTGTCCACGGAGCCCTCGTTTCGTTGGGTAAGATGGACCATGGTGTCGGAATTTCTCTGAGCCAGCTGAACAGCATCCAAATTGCCAAGGATGGAAAGACAGTCACGATGGGTGGAGGAACTATGTCCAAAAAGGTCACCGACACGCTTTGGGCCGCAGAAAAGCAGACAGTTACTGGAACTTGCGAATGCGTCAGTGTTCTAGGACCGGCGCTTGGTGGTGGACATGGATGGCTTCAAGGCCACCACGGACTTGTCTCTGACCAATTCGTCTCGATGAATGTCGTTCTCGCCGACGGTACCCTGAAGACAATTAACCAAGACTCCGACCTCTGGTGGGCGATGAAGGGTGCTGGCCACAACTTTGGCATTGTGACTTCTCTCACTAGCAAGATCTACGACATCGAGCACCACGACTGGGCCATTGAGACAATCACTCTCAGTGGCGATAAGGTTGAGGCTGTCTACCAAGCTACCAACGAACACCTTCTGAAGAACGGTGCTCAGCCCGCGGAGGTCATTACCTGGTCGTACTGGATGAACGTCCCCGATATTGACGCCAGCAACCCCGTCATCGTACTCTATATCATCCAGGAGGGAGTGAAAGCTGTCGACCCAATTTACACCAAGCCTTTCCACGACATGGCACCGCTTGCCATTGTCCCCCAGGCAGGTACCTACAAGGACCTCGCTGCTTGGACCGGTATTGCCCTCGACTCCCCGCCATGCCAGAATATGGGAATGGCTAACCCCCGCTTCCCTATCTACCTCGAAACATACGACGTTGCGGCTCAGAAGATGGCATGGGACATCTATGCACCTGCCGTCCGTGGAGACTCTCCCTTCAACTTTTCCATCTTCATGTTCGAGGGTTACTCCGCTGGGGGCGTGCACGCGATCCCTAGCAGCTCGAGTGCTTTCGCTTTCCGCAGCGAGAATATCCTTGCCGCCCCACTCATTAACTACGTGCCTGTGGATAAAGCGCTCGAGGACAAGGCGGCTGCTTTGGGTAACCAGCTCCGCAACATCCTCCACGAAGCCACTGGCCGTACGGACATTCGCGCATATGTCAACTATGCCCACGGAACCGAGACAACCCACCAGATGTATGGTGACAACAAGGACCGCCTGCTCGCCTTGAAGCAGAAGTACGACCCGACTGGCAAGTTTAACTTCTACGCACCGATCATAGATATGTGAAGGCTTGAAGATATGTACATATAACGACATGTTGCAAGCATGTACAATAAGCATATGGAGATAGGATTATATTGAATAGACTATATATAATTTGATTCAATTTACTATAGTCCTGACAACTTCAGAGCTGTGTAAGCCCGAAGCTTAGGTATCATTAGGTAGCTATGGCTAGAATAGGATCCATTCCAACAACCTTGGACGTCGTGAACAAACTCTCCGTAAGTCAATAACATAGCTGGACCGAAATTCAAGCATTTAGAAACCCTGGTGGCGACCTCGGGACAGCTAATATAGAGAAGCCCCACTCGGCAGTTTGGGGAAATTTATATCCGTCTGTCTTCTCCCTAGACACGATGAGTTCCGTTGATCCTTCACTATTATCGGGACATTTATGGCCACACAAGGGAAATCGAGTGTACTCAAATTAAACACGAAGCATAAATTAATCGGGTATCAAATGCATAAATCGCCAATCGACTTTGGAATGGCTCGGAGAACCGCCATAGTACAACTGCCGATAAGACCCCACGGCCCCACGGAAGGGCACGACGTTTATCGAATGCGGCGCGGTGTGGGGAACAGACTATAAGATGGCATACAACATATCTCGCTTTCAAAATGATTTCAAACACACAATGGATACATTCGAGTACAATCCCAACCCCGGCCGTGTCGTCTTCGGCAGCGGTACGCTGGAAAGACTCCCTGATGAGATCTCTCGCCTACAGTTGAAGGCCCCGCTAGTGCTGTCGACACCCCAGCAGGTCAGCCATGCTGAGACAGTCAAGGAGATGCTTAAGGGCCAAATCGCCGGTATTTTCACCGAGGCGACTATGCATACTCCCACGAATGTCACAGACAAGGCTGTTGAATATGCAAAGGCCAAGGGAGCTGACTCGGTCATTTCTATTGGAGGTGGAAGCACTATCGGTCTCGGCAAGGCGATCAGCATTCGCACTGGACTGCCTCATATCTGTATCCCGACTACATATGCTGGTAGCGAAATGACCCCGATCCTCGGTGAGACTGCCGATGGATTGAAGAAGACTCGTTCCGACCCCAAAATCTTGCCCGGCACAGTCATCTACGATGTGGACCTCACAATGACCTTACCGGCGGCTATGAGTGCCACTAGTGGTGTCAACGCCATTGCGCATGCTGGTAAATATTTTTGATTAATCTGAAATTCAATGCGCAAAATCTAATGCGTTTCTGATAGTCGAGGCTCTCTACGCACGCAACACTAATCCGATCATCAACATGATGGCGCTCGAGGGTATACGGGCTCTTGCATCCTCTCTTCCCGAAATTGTTGCGAGCCCGTCTTCTCAATCCGCACGATCCAAGGCCTTATACGGTGCCTGGCTCTGTGGAACATGCCTGGGCAGTGTGGGCATGTCTATCCACCACAAGCTGTGTCATACACTTGGCGGGAGCTTCAATCTTCCCCACGCTGAAACCCACACCGCTGTCCTCCCGCATGCCATCTCCTACAATGCACCTAACATCCCCGAGGTCATGAAGCGGTTGGCCGACGCCCTGCCAGATAGCAATGGCGATGCGATCCACGGTTTAAACGTTCTCTTGACTAAGCTTAAGGTCAAGCGCGGCGTGAAGGACTTCGGCATGAAGGAAGAAGACATCGATAAAGCGGCTGATATCGCACTATCCAATGCTTATTGGAATCCTCGCCCTGTTGAACACGCGCCGATCCGCGAATTGATTCGCAGGGTTTGGGCAGGAGAGCTCGCACAGGCGAACTTATAGATATCTGCTGCTTTTTATGTTGACATGATGGATTACATAAATAGCCCTATAACTCAGTGACTAATTTGAGTATATATTTTTTACCAAAATGCGATTATGATGAAGTTGGGTTGCTCTGCCAATGCTCTGTTGTATTTTCCCGTTATCGATGGCGGGGGTGAAGTGGGGGGAGGAATCTTTTTTTTCTTTTCCAAAAACTCTTAGCAATTTCGTTCTTAAAACAACACCACATTTCCCCCTCTATCACACAAAATGGGGTCTGAAATGAAGTCGGCCCCTGTGCTGTCGACCGCTGACGATCGTATTCTCGAAGAAACCAATCCAGTGGCCGTGCGAGACCCAACGGCTCCAGTGTCAGACGATGAACTCTCCATTACCTACGATATCGAACGTACATTGAAGGAGATTCGGCAAGCGCGATACAAGCGCATTGCCCTTCAGTTCCCCGATGATATGCTTCCTGATGCCCCGCGAGTATTTCAATTGCTTAGCCGGGGCCTGGAACGCGAAGTCGACACCAATGGCACACAGTCCTCGAACCAGACCGATGCCGACCTGACTCATTCGATAAGTGAGCTCCAAGTGGAGGGTAAAACAGAAAAATACTCGCCTCGGTTCACAATTTTGGCCGATACGTCTTACGGGACCTGTTGTGTTGACGAAGTAGCCGCGGAACATGTGGATGCAGACGTGGTTGTGCATTACGGGAGGTCATGTCTGTCGCCAACAGCTCGGCTACCGGTGATCTATGTTTTCACGCATAAGAATCTGCCTCTGGAGCCAGTGGTGCGAGCGTTCAAGGCAACTTATCCTGAATCGACGACCAAGGTTGTCATCGCAGCCGACGTTACCTATGCAGACCACGTTCCTACGGTATATGCTCGCCTGGTGGAAGAGGGATATAGTAACTTATATGCAACGGAGGTTGTACATGAGCCTTCGTCACCTATTCCCAACCGTACAGTGCCTGAGTCGGTTCGAGAGGCTCCTGAGACGCTAGCCAACTGGCAACTGTTTCACATTTCCGACCCGCCAACAGCCCTCATGATGACACTTGCATCTCGCGTTGCGGCTATTCATATTTATCCCACCAATGACCTTTCCAATGAAAATGTTAAGCCATTGCCTGCTTCAACTGCTGCGGTTTTGCGACGCCGCTATGGCACTCTTGCATCTCTGACGACCGTGCCTATCTGGGGCATTCTTATCAACACCTTGAGTGTTAAGAACTACCTGCATATTGTGGAACATGTCAAAAAACGAATTGCCGAAGCAGGAAAGAAGAGCTACATGTTCGTGGTTGGTAAGTTGAATGCTGCCAAGGTAGCCAATTTCAGTGAAATTGGTGGTTGGGTTGTTATTGGCTGCTGGGAAAGCTCTTTGGTGGATAGCACGGATTTCTGGAAGCCAGTTATCACGCCCTTTGAATTAGAGCTGGCCTTGAAAGACGACTCAGATCGGGTGTGGACAGGAGCGTGGCAGAGTGACTTCCAGGCAGTACTTGACGCACCAGCTCAGGAGGTCAACGGAAATGGAGATGGCCAGGGGACATCTGATGGGGCAACCATGTCCGATGAGGACGACATGTCAGAACCCGAGTCGGCGCCGCCCGAGTTTGACCTGCGCACCGGTCGATACGTCTCAAATTCCCGTCCAATGCGGGAACCCGCGCCCCGCGCTTCACAGGTTGATGGATCATCCACCACTGGGCCATCCGCTGCTAGGGCGCTGGCGCGGCGAGCCAAGGGTGACTTGGCTATGATCGGCGGTGCCGTTTCACCAGGGGCAGAATACTTGCGATCGCAACGGACATGGACGGGTTTGGGTAGTGACTTTAATATTCGATATGATGAGGAAGACTCGGAGGATAGTACCCTGGTCAAGGAAGGGCGCAAGGGTATTGCGAGGGGCTACACTGTAGGCGATGCGACCGACAAACATTAGTCTACATGGCCTAGCATAGAAACCATTTGCACTAGACTCAGCGATCAATGCATTTCATTTTCCTTTGCAGAAACAAATCCATGAACTGCTCAGATCATCAAAATCTGGGGGTTTCATGGCCATCACATGACGGCTCTCCTAACGGGCGCATCCGGATATCACCTTGTCTCGCTCACCTTTTACATTTCTTTTTTTTTCCCTCTCCAGTGCCTTTCTTTAGGATCCTAGGGAAATAAAAAATACATCTCTCTTTCTTTGCTTTCCCCTCTCTTTGGGGATTTCGTCTTTCCCCTCATTTTCATACCCCTCTCTCTCTCCCTCGCTCCCCCTTCAGGTACCTCAATTCCTCAGCCCTTGCGATCCCGTCTTCTCAATTATCGTCTGTCTACCTTTCATGGCCTTGCATGGTGGCTTACCTCAGGGTGTGATTACCCCCCTCGATTGCGTCGTCAAGTTGTCTTATCATGTGCCGCGTCTCTAAGCGCCGAGCTCGCGACCTCGCGCTATCTCGAATTTCGACCTAGTAACCGTCATCTTTCGTTCGCCCAGGACCTATGACGAATCAAAGTCTTGAAAACATGGCTAGGGAGGAGGTTGCTGGCGAGGGCCCAGCGTCGCAGCTGACAGTGCTGGAAAATGCCTTGCAACACTTGGCTATCCCAGAAGAAAGGACTCTGTCCACCTTTGAACGGGTGATAACAACAAATGCACCCATATTCGAGTCTCTGTTACTCCAGATCCCGACCGATACTGTCATAAAGCTGTATCACACTTCAAATTACCTCCGTACGTTCCTTCGATCATATCCGACCGCATGGAAGTCACTCTCGTTTCGCCTACAATATCCTTCAAGCACTCTACCGAATTCTCAACTCAATGGCCCAGGCGTCACGGAAACAGCCCCCGTGCGTCAGTCGCGACCTTATGCCCTAGATATGTTCCTGATGAATGTGGTGATCCCATTTAGTAGGTGCTTGAAAAGCCTAGAATTGGATAACACGGCCATCTCAGGAGAGAACTTGACCTCGACCGTGCTGCATTCACGTCGGGAGACTCTAGTACATCTCTCTGTTCGAGGCTGCAAGAATGTCTCTTTGAAATATCACATCGTTCCTTTCTTGACCATGTTCGCGCTGCAATGTGACATTGACATGGAGAATAATACCGGCAGTTACCCCGGGATGAAACGACTTGCTCTCAAGAGTATCTACGCCTACCGATGTCGCCACCACAGGAGACGCCCATATCTCTCGTCTTCGCTGATGCGGAAAGACGCCGACGCAGAGTCG